GGGCGGATTCCATCGAGCAGTTTCAGCACCGCAGTAGTGCGAGTTAGTGTAATTTGTCGCACAGTCACCGCACCAGAAGCGAAGAACTCAGCTGCTTCGCGCTCCAGAGTGTGCAGCGAGAACAGTCGGAATAATTGGTGTAGGAGGCCCCTGGTCTCTGGATCCAAGGCCGCTGAGAGTTGGGGAGAGGAGACCGCCTCGTAGAAGTTCTTTACCATCATGTACTGAGAGTGAGCCGTAGACAAGCGCCAGAAGTCAACCAACAGGCTGTTCCAGGAGCGCTGCTCAGCATCCCGATGCTTCAGGGCCTCAAAGGTCAGATGGGCCGTGCGCCATGCGAAGGCAGCTACAATGTCCTTGTCTTCATCGAGCACATCGAATGAAGCTCCCTTGTCGCGTCGGTCGAGGTATGCCTGAAGGATTTGGCTAGTGTCGTTACCAGTCGGCTTGCCAGCCAGGACGGCACGGGCAGATTTAAGAAGCTGTTGATACGGTCAGTCTTGAATGGAACGGAACGAAAGAACTGCGACATACATAACGTGCAACCTGCTGGGTCAACATATAGTTATCACCTTCCCAGGTCAATGTGGGTAGATAGTCCGCGTATGCTGGTCCAATGCCGCTATAGCTGCTGTATCCATGACCACCACATGCGCGGCGGCAGATCTCCAGACCTTCACCAGCAGTGGTACTGGCCAAAGCCTTGAGGCCACAGGAGGTGGCATGCAGATCTGCTAGGAGGTTCGCACCGGCGCGGAGCTGCTCGGGGCCAGCGCCCCGCGACTCCTGGTCGGGCGAACTGGCGGCCTTCATGCGGCTTTGATTCTCCTCATACAGACGCATCATGCCGCGACCGGTGAAATGAAGGGCATACATGGACGCCAAAAGCGGGAGCAAGCGCACCTGGACCATCTTATAGTTGAGTACTTGGGTCTCACCCGCGTGCGGATCCGCATCGCGGTCCTGGAACTGCCTCCGCACTGCACAGTACCGGGTCGCAATAGTGACACCGCGAGCCAGAACACCACCGGCATCCAGAACAATGTTGGCGCGCACCCAAGTCATAGTACCAAAGACGAGAGATGGCATAGCAGGCTTAGCATAGTGGTTCGTCTCTTTGTCGACCTGACAGAAGCGGGCCAGCATGTTGACATGGGGTATCTTGACGTTGTTGAATAACAGGAACCCATTATCCATAGTGCTGAAGTTGTCATTAGTCCTGATATCAACCAAAGAGTGGGAACGGGCTTACTTGTAGCCAAACTTGGGGCCGATATCGCCCACATATACATTATCCAATGGTTGATGGGTTTCGAGGTCACGGACCTGAACGACGAATGGGTGAGGACCGTAGTTCTTGCCATCAATAAATAGTTGGGCCATAACCACAGCGTGATTTGCCGTGCGACCGAGAGATCCAATCCACCATTTCGAGGCAGTCAATGTTGGGGAGTTGATAGTGAATGTCTTATCGTTGGAGTTCCAGGTGGCGGTGGTTTCCAAACCGCGCACGTTCGAGCCGTGACCCAATTCTGTTTGCGCATAGCAACCGATGATTTCGTATTTTTCCGCGCGTTCAAGGAAGAGTTTGTGCTGCTCGGGGGTGCCTTGTTCCCGGAGAGTTACCTAGATAACGATCGAAGGGGTCAGGTGGATTCTTGCCGGGGGATCCAATCTACTTACCAGGAACATGCTGGCGTGCAAACCATACGGAGTAGGTTCACCGATCAAGTCATTGGCCGCATGGAGATCTTCCATTGACCATTTGTGCTCTTCCGCGAGCTGCTGGAGACGCTTGGCCTTGCCCAGCGACCGCTGGAGTCGCTCCACGCGGCCCAAAGTATGATTTTGAGACTTATCAAATACTTTTTCGGGTTGCAAAAGAGCTAGGAGGGATGCTCGTCGCTCCAGGGTTTCCTTTGTGTGCAGCAACTCAGATAACCTTTTGACGTCGACATTGGATTGAGCACGCTCCTGTTGGAGGAGCTCAGATCCTTGTGGGCCTGACGGCTTCAGGGCCTTAACCCAATTAGGAGGAGGTGTTGGCATTGTGAAGAAAATAGGGATATATTGGGATAGATGGAAGAGAAAGAATGGGGAAAGATGGGGTTATGAACCCCAGAGAGAAGGGAGCTTGGAAGGGCCGAGGGTCTCAATGAGGAAAGAGCCTCGGCTTAAAGGTGCTGACTAAGAAGGAAATGGCGGAGAGCCGGGGAACTTCCAAATTTGGAAGTTCCCAATTCCCGAGGTCGACTGCCATTTACACCTGTTAGACCCCTTGAACTATGTATATTTAAGGAGTATGTATCTGTACTCCATACATTCTTTCTTAATTACCGATCATCTACTCTGTAACCAGAGTCAGCCCCGCATGTCCTACTAATTTTTGATATGGGGAAGCGGGGGAGAAAATACGCTTTCACGGCTTCAACTACTCCCGAAATTACCTGACCCCGATCGGGTGTTAGAGAGTGATGAGGTCACCTATTGTCATTAATAGTTTACGTAGTAGGACATACTCCATTGTCTGGGAAATGACCTCGGTTTGAAGGTGTTGAATTGCCAACTATACCCCGGTCATGTGGTTTAAAATTTTCAAGACAGAATGAACGCTCACGTGAAACAAAGTACAACATTGCATACGGGATGAGCGAAAAGTCCGAGATAAATAATCGGATCTGATAACAAAAAAGTTCCCGAATCATTCTCACATGTCAACATGTGAGAGTTTTCTTTTTGGATTTTTATTCATTGCGTCTGACCTTGGTCACCCGCGGCAATCCTAGCCACGTGATGAGAATGGCACCAGACAGGGCAATGATAAATGGCTGTAGCACTTTCACCCCTTTGGCTTGTGCAAGCACACCAACCGCAAAAGGGAGGATTGCCGCCCCACTACCCCCAAAGGCAGCGACAAACCCTATGGAGGTGACATGTAGGTGCCGAGGAAGAAGCTTAGTAACCATTACAACTGCCCCAGGGAAAAGGGGTCCAAGGAAGAAACCTTGCAGAGACACTGCCACAGCTGACGCATAGAACTGGGGCACAAGCCATAGAACCAACGCAAATCCCATGGAGCAAACAATGTATACCTGGTGATAATCAGTCTGGTCCTACCGCCAAAGAAGAAAAAAAAAAAACATGGTGCTCACCGAAATTGCGACTTTCTCGCCGACCCGAGGCGTCACAAACCCCAAAATTACCCGTCCAACTGTGATACCCAACCAGAACCCAGTGGCTGTCATACCGCTAGCAAAAGCACTACCTTGCCGGACTCGGATCATAAAAGTAACAATCCACCCTCCCAGCGCGACCTCTACTCCAACATATCCCAGTAGGAACAGTGCGCAGAGCCAGGTTACCCGGGCAGCTGGGCGCTTGAAGAGTGCGTCTCTCAGGCCACCTTTTTTGCTCTCGTCCACTGATGGTATGTTGGATGCGCGAAAATCGGCAGCGGTTGATTTCCAGAAGCATGCTCCAGAAACCACCAATTCGATGGCCGCACATGCGATCTAACTATTAACTCCTGGCCAAATATGTGCGACGATTAAGCACTTACCATGACATAATAAAAGTAATACCACGGCAGACCACCTTTGGCAATCATTGACGTTGCGACCAATGGGCTCATAACTGCACCAGCTCCATAGATCCCATGCAACACTCCCAACACCTCATTGGCATTGGCCATGTTACCGATCCATGCATTCCATGCAGCATCCTCTAGGCCATTTCCCAGCCCAGCAAAGATGAATGCGACCACTAGTACCGGATACGGTGGATGAACGCAGTTGATAACATAGGCAATGAGATGGCACGCTGGCCCGATAATGGCCACACCGCGTTGGCCGAACGTATAGTGGATGCGGTGATTGAGAAAAGCCGCGACTGTATAACCTACTAGAGGTGACAAGAAAACGAGAGACACAATCGTGTACGATAGATGATAGTATGATTCTAGCTGTATGCTGAGTGAGACAGATTGTCGTCAAATGTTAGGGTGTTTCATCTTACATATGGAATTAGAGCCTATAAACAGTCAGCAGATATCTCGCAACATTTTGAAGTCAAGCTGTGCTCCTTTTCAGCCATATCAACTTACACCGTAGGCTGCATCATTCGCACCCATGACTAGGAATGACCAGAATGTTGCAAAGGTTCGATGAACATTGACACGAGGCTGGTTCCATTTCTCTAACAACGGAAATCTTTCAGGACCCAAAGGTGAGCCTCTATCTGACTGCCCATGAGGCAAAGCCTCAAGAGCGATGAGATTGGAATCGCGCGATTTTTGTTTCACATGGGTGGTTGCCATGGTGTGTGATTCAGCGCTGTGCGAACTGTTTCTACAATTAGAACAATGAACAGCAATGACAGTCCAAAATCATATTCTTTCCTTGGCGCGGTGGTTCAACCCGCATTGCCGGATTGAGATGAGGGGATGGTGACGTCCCCCACATTGCTTCGGCAGAACTTCGGCCGAGGATGATAGTTGTTGACTCCGAACGGGTTATTAGACCCTTTCCTTTTTCTCGATCAATTTTTGTTAATATATCTATGGGCTAAGATGCCATGGACCGACAAAGATACTGTTCTAGTAGATGTACTCCATGAATGAGTTGTTGCGAAGGACCTAGTACTCGTGTATCAAACCCACTCCGTGATCACATTTGAACATTGGATTTTCGATCGACGTATAATGTCCGTGGTCGCTTAAGATTTTGTCGAGTACATTCGATGCATTGGATTTGATTCGAGGTCTCCATGAAGAACAGAGTATCAGATCGTTGAACCATCCCGTGAATTCTTATATATCATGTTTTACCACTAGCACTTAGTTTGAAAGATCTTTCGCTCTGCAAATAATACGAACTTGCGCCACATTGTGGACTTTACGGGGTGAGGATTTTCCACCAATCAGAAGATATTCAATTATTCAATTATATATAAGCCAACCTTGAAACTCAAGAGTGCCGTCAACTCAGTATACTCTAACAGCAATGAGTTACAACAATCCCATCATCCCGGGGTTTAATCCCGACCCATCGATTATTCGTGTTGATAAAGACTTTTTTTTAGTCACCTCGACCTTTGAATACTTCCCTGGAGTGCCCATTTATCACAGTCAGGATTTGATTCAATGGACATTGATCGGTCATGCGTTGACACGACCTAGTCAGCTTCAAATTCATACGCCAGAACCGGGAGGCGGCGTCTGGGCAACCACAATTCGGCATCACGGGGGCTTTTACTATATCATTGCCGCGAGCTTTCAGCGTTATCGTCCGCAACAGGATGACCGAGTTTGGCCACAGGGATTTTATGTCAAAACAACCGATATATGGGATGAGAAGACATGGTCTGATCCAATCTATTTTGATCAAGTTGGGTTTGACCAAGATGTGAGTTTCCACCAAGAGTATCACCACGTGTATATATCACGGGAATGACAGTTGAATACTATAGCTTTTTTGGGATGACGATGGAACCGTATATTTATCGTCCACCTACAGAAAGATTCAGCCAACTAGTGGTGCTAAATTGAAAGATTTTGCAATTCATATATGTACGGTGGACTTGACGACCGGTCATTCTACGTCCGCGCCTAAATTGATTCGAGAATCTTCTTCTGGTGTTGCCGAGGGGTCACACATCTTCAAACGCGGTCGTTATTGGTATTTGTTCACAGCAGAAGGTGGCACTGAAAGTGGCCATAGCGAATGGGTGAACCGGAGTGAAGTTGGTCCATCAGGACCGTGGGAGCTCGGGCCAAATAACCCTCTCTGGCGCAATGGCGTTGAGGACGAAGTGCAGAACACGGGACATGCCGATCTGGTTGAGGACACCAAAGGGCAATGGTGGGCAGTCGTTCTCGGTGTTCGTCCTTCAAGAAAGGGAGATACGTGGGAAGACTCTGTGCTAGGTATGGTATATGGTGCCTCGAAGTATTAGTTGGTTATTATACTAACCTTCTTAGGCCGAGAGACATTCCTAGTCCCTTTGGAATGGAAAGACGATTGGCCCGTGATCAACGGAGGACAGAAAATCAGTCTCAACTCCCATGGACCAGGTCTTTATCAATTCCATACGCCAGTACCCTGGAGAGATGAATTTTCGGATCCGAAAATGCAGGTTGGATGGTATCGAAAAAGTGAGCCCGGAAGAACAAACCTGCCTGAGCCCATCTGACCAGAGAATAGACACGCCCTTCGTAAATGACTACTCACTTACTGAACGCCCCAATTACCTTCGTCTCCATGGTGGACCTTATAATCTGTCAGTGCCAGCCAGTCCCACCATGTTCCTTCGCAAGCAAACCCACCACGTCTGCAGATGGGAAACAAGGCTTTCCTTTCAGCCAACTCTAAACGAGACCGAGGCTGGCACTGTGGTATGGTTGAATTATTTTACATATAGCAGCATCGGTATCAGGAAGGATACCAATGGCCGTTTCATCCGTTTTCGGCCATCGGAGGGCGATATCGTGGAGCATAGACTGGACACAGAAACTCCTGTCACTCTCACAGTTGACTGTGGTAGTGAGTATCGATTTGGGTATCATGAAGGCACGGAATCTGAAATGCATTGGATTGGATCGGTTTCTAACAGTGCTGCTACGGCAGCACCTCCAGTGGGGGCTAACTTTACTGGCATGATGCTGGGTTTATATGCATTTGGAGAGCGGCAGCGATGCCTGGCCCCAGCTGATTTTGCGTACGCAGAGTTTAGATAAGTCAATAATGCTCCTTTGCTGAAGGGGTCCACTGAGTAAATTTGAGAGATTTGAAAGCCCAGAATATTGTCATATCTTCCAACATTGCATCCATCTGTACCAAAGTAAAGGGACCCCGGGGGACATGGAGTATGTCTCTTAACTCCGTGAGTAACTCCGATCGCCAAGCAATCTGATTGGATTCTTCCCTCAACATGGGGGGTGGCGGGCTCCATCTTCAAAACTGCTCCTCCTAAGCGAAGCGCGACACCCTAGTGCTGATAGCCAGAATGACCGAAACCTTGAAAATTGACCACCTAATCTCCATCCCTGATGTCATGTCCGATGACGCTGAGCAAGTTACAGACAAATGGACTGGGTTGACTGACCCGACCGAACGCCGTCGGCGACAGAACCGCATAAACCAGAGGGCTTACCGTATGTCACTTTCGCTATAGTCTGTTCAGTTGAAGCTAATATTTGCCAGGAAAGCGCAAGAGACTGTTATCAACCAATGAAATCCATCCTAAGAGCCTAGTACCATCCTCTCATTCGTCCTCTACCGCCCAGTCGCAACCCGGTTCTTCCCAAGACAATCCGAAACTCAACTTCTGCCGCAGCCCCGAATTTTTACAAAATATTTTGGAGAGATTTGCCAAGTCAGCGTATGAAAGCTACGCACGGGGAGATCCGACCGCCGATCATCTCATGACGTTAACGAAAGTTAATGTCTTCAGGGCATTTGCCCAGAACCTACGATTAATCGGTTGGTCGGAGTACTGGATGGACCACGACGCCATTTCACCCTTCAATACAGTTCTGCCCCAAAAGCCCTCTACTCCGAACGATAAAATCCCCATTCCAACCAACCTGCAGCCTACTCGAATTCAGAAATCGATACACCATCACCCATGGCTGGACTTCTTTCCTTCGCCCAAGATGCGCGATAATCTCATCGAAGCCGGGGATGACTGGGATGACGAGCAGCTCTGTAACGACATCATGGGTTTCTGGGGTGAGTCAACGATGGATGCGGGACTACTAGTTTGGGGAGAGCCTTGGAATGTGCAGAATTGGGAGGTGACCGAGCCGTTTTTGAAGAAATGGCAATGGGTTGTTCGAGGGTGCCCTGAATTGATGGACGCAACAAATCGTTGGCGTGCTCGTCGAGGGGAGAAACTAATATTCCGCTATATTTGAATCAACATAATCAAAATCCGACAAATTAGCCTTCACGATTAACTGAGCAACCTAATGATGAGGGCAGCGGCGACTGTATCAACCTTTTTACATCGATTGGCACATTTCAAGCTATTTTCACTCTCTATATTCTTTCTAGCTACAACACCATTAAGGAGGAAGATATCTAGAAAAAAGATATCTCAACACACATACAATACAACATATTGTTGCTTCATGATCTCGTCTACTAGCCTGTAGAATCTTGACATTTGGCATCACCCAAACGATCAGTGAGGTCAACCACGCATATTACCTACAACAGGAAAGGCTAAGCGAGATGAATGACCCATGTCCATTTTATATTTTTACCCGAGAATTTTTGGATCTGCACATAGGCCAAAACGTGGATCTCTACTAGCTCAATACACTATGTAGTGTGTTCCATAGAAGCGGAATACAACCACATAGTTATGTACAAAACCTGCAGATTGTTTTGACTTGCAGTGAAATTGTGCTAAATCGAACGCACTACGACTACGTGTGATAATTTGGCAGTACCATGTCGAAAAACCTAGCTAACTTGAGCTAGGGACCTTACCCAACTAGTGGGGCCCCATAGTCGTCAAGGTGAGAATGCATTCATAATTCATCAAAGCTTGAACAATTCTAATTACTCGGCCCCTTTGTTCAGAAGTCTCTGAGATGTCGTCTGGACGAATTCTAGCCCAGTTTGGCAGAGCATCAATCAATCAATCAATCAAAGTTCTATTAACCTGTTGCAGTCTAACTAGTTGCGTATGACTATACAGGCGCTTCTTCCAACTGAAGCAAGAACTCGAGTCCAACGCCAAGTCCAACGCCAAGTCCCAAAGGAGTGTACAGATGGTGATCAAAAAGAGCGTGGAATCAGCCCATTCCTGTAACCCGTAAATCCCGTAAATCCAAACCCATACCCAATCCCATACATAAGAAATTATTAAATGATTGCCGTGGAGTGCACCTTCCACCTTCCAACTCCCACTTTCTCACTCTCCCTTTTCACCCTCTGTCTTCTCCCTGCCTCAGTTTCAATTGGTGGTGGTGTTCTTGGTGACCAGTTCATCGGCATGGTTGTCATCCCTGGCTGAGTTTCTCGCTCCACAGCTTCATTTTCGTCATTGGCTAATACCCATCGTCTTCCACACCGCTGGGTAGAGTAGATCTATATCCTTCAGTTCCTGAAGAGCCTCGCTGATTTGGAGAAAATTGCTATCAAAGCTGGCATCGGCTCCTCTCTGGTGGATGAAGAACTCCCCACCAATAAAAAGGGGTATAGCTATGAAAGGATGGATCTATTAAGGATTCAAAGATAGTTTGCAAGCACACGAACGTAAACAGAAGTGGTGAAGAACCTACCTTGAGGAAACTGAGCTGGGACAGATGTTGGGAGGGTCGCGCAATCTCCTGGGCCGCCGTCGATGCCCTGTGTTCACATTGCGCTAAGTATCTCCGTAATCATGGGCCTGCCATGCAATAAGTTGTGTAGCCGTTCTCAGAAACAAGACAGCTGCCTGTGCAATCATTTTCGTAGAAAGTAACATAGGGTCCATCCAATCAAGGTTAGGCATAAGTTGATAGAACTGAATCCGCTGTATAAGTAAGTTGTCGAGCCATAGATGGCGATCCCAAAACTCGGTAATCGGGCTGCCACACGCCTGTTCGACACTAGACTGTTTCCGATGGCTCAGCACTCGCCCCAACAGCGTGCTGAAAATTATGCACTCGCTAAATGGGGTCTGGATTTTCAGGTCAGTCGTGCACGCCATGATATCCAACAGGAATGGGGCTAAGACCGGGTTTCCGCTTGGGAAATCCACTTTTGAGGATGATAGTCGTGTGGTGATCTGGAACTTACATTCTATCAGTCAGTGTTCTGGCAAATAAACTGAGATTTAATATAATGACAGTATTTTCGTCCACTGTTAGTGGTGAATTGTTTAAGATGCAGAATAAACGATCAAGACAATACGCCATCCAGAATGTTCGTCGCTTTTCTTCCGTCTCAGCGTCGGTGTTGTAAATATCACTGGATACGTCATGTAGATGCTCAATTGAGTCGATTCCATTCAACTTTAGCAGTTGCACTAGGCGAAGTGCTCGGCCTGTGCTCGCCCAAGGACGTCGGAATGTCTTCTGCATGAATTATAAACGGCGACTAGAATCCAGGCCTGGGCTTGCTGGAGGTAAAATGCATCTTCTTGGTGGTAATCCTCATTCTCCAATGCTTCGAGCATCTGACGCGTGTCATGGTATAGGCCATCTCGCAAGTGTTGAAATTGCGAGGAGAGTGATGCTGCCATGGTCCATACTGCGTATTTCAGACATAGGTGTGATCCGGACGGCGAGCGCTGCTTTGCCCAGGAGAAGTAGCGACCTTGCTGCCGAATAGGAATGAAGGGATAGACACGATCGAAGTAGAGTTGATTTCTGATCCACAAGTCAGTTATTCCGACATGACTACAAGGGGGATGAAAGGGCATTGAAGGGTTCAGCTCTCATACAGCTCCGCTTGGGTCAATTTCGGAATTGTGCCACTGGTCGTGCCGGCCAGAAGTGCATCAGGGGAGGATGTGATATTTGGCGCCATCATTGCTAGGAGAGAAAATGAATCTCCGGGGAGATCTAGCTCGATCTCGGCTACTCCTTGTTGCTCTTCGTTGTCTTATTGAGATTCAATCCAAACTCGCCCAGGGGATCATCTTGTGCGCGCAGTCGTCTTTCCAATACCGCTTTATGATTCACGAATACATAAGTAAGGTTCTCAACCAACAAACTCAAAACATGGACAATTTACCAATTCTGGACCGCAGGTCCTTCAAATGTCCTCGCTTGGGTCCGCGCGATGGGCGGTCTGTGTTGATGTGGCAGCGCACTCCGGAATCCGCGCACGCACCACAGGGCCTCTTTCTGTCGCATCTCAGTTTCTTTCGTTGGCATTCCTGGCAAGCCAAACCTGGCTCTTGTCGGGGACGTAATGTGTTCATGTTGTTATCGATATATGATATTACAATTCTGCTCCTGCTTCGAGAGTGGATAAGCGAGATTTTATCGAATAGCTACGTTCCTTGTATGTGGCAATCTCGGTAATAAATAGTCGGCAGATAGTGGTTTCTTGGGCGTTAATTTAGTCTGACCCACAAGGATTGTAATCCTGTGAATAAAGAGGCGTATCACAGAGAAGGGCCTAGATAGTCAGCCCTACTAATACGGTATGGCTGAGGTAAGTGCGCGATTCATTTCTAGGAAACAACCCCGAGAGATTTCACCATTTGGTGATAATGTTCCTTGTCTAGTTACCTTCAATGTCGTTAGCCTCATATGATAAGCTGTTCGAGTGCAGGGCAATCCAAACGTGCATGGAATCTCTGCATACCTCCTCCTCCTTTTGGTGGGCGTCTAGTAGACACCGAATGAGGATATTGCGTGCGAGATGCCCGGGGACTGTCTAGCTACATAATAGCCAATCGATTGTTCATGCTCGCTCTCACCTGGGCAAAGCCAGAAATTCACCTATTGGTGGCCACCATGAAGATAGCAGAAGTACTATGTAATCTATATAGTACTAATGATGGGGCACTAGAATCTCACTACCTCGTGGCACCGCGTGGTGAATTTCGATCCAAGGCAATTTATAGCACCTGCACATGTACCTATGCAGGTGTATTGGCCCAATGGAAAACCAACCCTGTCCACAAACCCCGAGCATTAGCCATATCCAGAATGTGGGGCCGTTAGGTACATATCACACTGCATCATCTTGCATCATCTTACGTGCATTCAATATGCACATCAGGGCCTCGGTCATACTTGACCAGGGACATATATTGAAAGAATTGGGACTTGAGTGCAGTGTATATTATCGGAGACCACGTTGATATCAAATCCAATATTAACAAATTAAGTAACGCCTAATGGCTAATCCTCTGGTAGTAAAACATGCATTCATGCATGACTTGCCAAGCCATTCTACCAGCGCTACGGACAATGATACACCTGTCAGATTAGAATAAGGTCTCCCTAGGCCATAAACAGGAGTCTTGGTTTTTTTTTATGGCCTAGTGGTAAATAGCCTGTATCTATTACCACGCCCTCAGCCATCGGATGAACTGAACGACCCATTTCGAGGCTTTGTGGCGCAAACCCCTTCTTGATATTGGATCCAACACGCAACTTCCCCTCCCATGAATGACCCCAAAGCCGCTATGGTAGCTTTATGCATGAGTGTGGATAAGTTCGTATATCGATATATTACCTGTAGCAGCAATCTGCATATCACATCGGCAGTCCGGGTGAAAGGCATTGCCAAATCGTGTAGACTCCCACTTACATTCCGACAAGGCTATGGGGAATACCATGTTCAAACCCCTTTGTGTGAATATTCATCTTACTCAGTTTGGTATAGTCGTGTTCAGACTCTTCAGTTGCAGCTTGATACCCATACCATCGATTATTCATAGCTTCTTATGGTCGTGCTAGACCCCGCAGTATCCGCAGAGGCAATTTTCAAAATGAAAGCTGTACCTCGTTGGAAGCGAGCTGCAGGTAAGCAACGCCCCCAAAATGATGACCCTTGGCCGCGCAAATGCCCAGGCGCCTCTAAATCTATACAACAACCTCGTCGGAGCCGGTATTGGATAAGCTTTCTTCCCGATGTGCCGGGCGGGGTAATTTAATTTCAAGCTTCTTGGGAAGCTTTTCATGCGGCCCGTCATCAGGGCCCCACATCCGATTAGACCATATGGCATTATTGGTTATCTACTCAAGGTGGCTGTCAAGCTGAACAGCTGGACAGCTGGACAGGTGTTTGGACCCCCTAGAGGATACGAATCGTCAACTCATACTATAGGAGCTACAATTTCTATGGACTTTGTCTATATCTTAGATGTGTCGGAAATGTCCGAGTAAGATAAAGATGTAAAGCGCAGGTTGAATTAGATAGGGAGAATGGAAATGACCTCACGATAACCACGAACTTCGTTCAACTAAGATGAAGGAGTCAATACTCAAAGGTAAAAAGAACGCAGGTTAATATGACATTATTAACCCCCGCTTAAAAGTAAGCACTGATAATTGCTACCTTTCTCCCCCTGCCCCCGGTCCACTGTGGTCGGTTGTTCATCATCAGTCTAATTGCAGTAGATTAGATCGGCATTCGGCATTCGGGCTCCGACTTACGGCTCCTACCATCCATCTTTGAATCTGGACTCCGGACACGGTGCCGAAGCCCGAAACACCTTCGTGGTAAGCTGCGTGATGCTCAAACAAACTCTCCACAAAATCCAATTCCACTTTCTTCCTGACATTGAGCTTTGATATGCAAATCGCTTTCTGCATGATCCAGACTTTACACCCAAACTATGCCATCCAATCGAGCAGCCTGGTTAACAGCCAAATCCGCGCGACCACTTGAGGTCAAAACCGCTCCCTACACGTCTCCTGCGACCAATGAAATCGTCATTAAGAATGGTGCGATTGCAATCAACCCGGTAGAATGGTCCAAACAACTTGTCGGAGACTTGATGTTCTCATGGATCAAATACCCATTTGTTCTCGGCAACGACCTTGCAGGCGAGGTTGTTGAAGTTGGCTTGGGGGTTACACGCTTCAAGCCCGGTGACCGCGTCCTAGGCCACGCACTCTCGATGGATCCCACAGTGAACAAGAACTCTGAGGGTTCGTTCCAGGAGTATACGGTTGTCCGTGCAAACATGGCATCGCCAATCCCGGATACCCTCTCCTACGAGGAAGCCTGTGTCCTTCCGTTGGGCCTGTCCACCGCCGCCTGCGCATTGTTTCAAAAGGACACCCTCGCACTCAACTACCCTGATGCGTCGGCTGCCGCGACGGGCGAATCCAAGAAGACTGGAAACGAAGCGCTCGTCATATGGGGTGGATCTAGCAGTGTTGGATGCAATGCTATCCAGCTTGCCACCGCTGCGGGATACGACGTCTTTACCACTGCATCTCCGAAGAACTTCGAATTCGTCACCAGTCTGGGTGCCACCCAGGTATTCGACTATCGCAGTAAGGCTGCCATTACGGAAATCATCAAAGCCCTGAAAGGGAAGAAACCCGTCGGTGCAATTGCAATCGGGAACGGCGCTACGGAGGCATGTATGGAGATTCTTTCCAAAACCAATGGATCGAAATTTGTTGCGCAGATTAGTTTCCCGTGGCCAGAGAAGACTCCAACTACAACTTTGGCTCTTATCGGTGCTATGGTGGGGCTCATGTGGTGGAACTTAAGCATTTTTATCAAATCGAAGTTCAAGGGCGTGACGGCAAAGTTTGTCTTTGGGAGCAGCTTGTACAATAATGAAGTGGGTGGGATCATCTATCACGATTTCCTGCCGGAGGCATTGGCGCAGGGAAGCTTCGTGGCGGCTCCCAGGCCCTTGGTGGCGGGCAAGGGATTGGAGATGATCCAGGAGGCCATGGATTTGCATATGAAGGGGGTTTCCGCTAGGAAGGTCGTTGTTTCTTTGTAGTTGTCTTTTGCAGATGTTTATTTGTTAGATTTAGTGTTAGTTAATGATTGTAAGCATGACCGGTGCTTACACCAAATAATAACAGAATAGTGGAATTATTCTCTAGAATACATTGTAAACCACAATGGAAAGAACAATTAGCTAGATATTTCTAGTTCTAGGCCAACGCATGTACGAGAGGTTTTGTTGAATAAAATGGATTCTGCAATGGCAATGGAAGCTCTTACAAACATACATGGATTGGTTCATGAAGATGTGGATTGAGATTGCTTGCTGAAGAGAGTTCAAATAAGCAGGCACAAAGCTTGTGCAAGCGAAGCTACAAGGCCCGATAACTATTCCATGGAAACCCAGGTTGTCCGTTAGCTACTGTTGCATGTAGGTAAGATCTAAGAATATCCCTCGGTATTGAATTACCGATAGACCGTCGGCTCAATAACAACTCCAGTGATAACTCCGAGTAGAGGGGAACGGTGTCCGAAACCCGATCTGGGAATCTGTATATCTAAGCAAATGTATGTATACACTTGCATGGGATGGGATACATAGATGTGATGAAAGAAAAAAAAGGATTGACCATCGCTCCCGATTCCCTATTTTGACTTTATCTTTCTTCAACGAAGTGATCTACAATGACACCAACACCAGTCAACAAAGCAGCATGGCTAGTCGCCCCCAAGGCCCCCTCGCCGTTGGACCTGCAGACTACACTCACCCTGATGCTAAGCAGATCGTTGTCAAAAACGCCGCTGTGGCAGTGAATCCCCTTGACTGGGCAAAACAACACGTCGGCGACAAAAAATGGGAATGGATCACCCTCTCATTCATCATCGGCCAAGACATTGCCGGAGAAGTCGTCGAGATTGGATCTGAAGTAACCCGCTTCAAAGTTGGTGACCGAGTCATTGCCCACGCAGTGGGCTTCTACCTGTACGGGAACCGGGCTGCCGAGGGTGGGTTCCAACATTACACCATCGCACGCGAACACATGGCCAGTCCGATTCCTGAGGAGTTGTCCTTCGAAAGGGCATGTGTCATCCCCATGTGTTGCTCTGCCGCCTCGTGTGCGCTCTACCAGAAGGGCTATCTTGCCCTTGATTACCCCACTGTTCCCGCGCAGCCAGTGAACAAAGAATACATTCTTATTACGGGTGGTTCGACGGCAGTGGGGGGTAACGCGATTCAGCTTGCCAAATTTAGCGGGTACACAGTGGTGACGACGTGTTCGGAACGGAACTTTGCTCACGCAAAAGACCTTGGCGCGGACTTGGTCTTCGATTATAATAGTCCCACTCACGAGGCTGATATCGCGGCAGTCTTGCAAGGCCAGAAGGTTGCTGGTGCATTCGCCGTTGGACCCAGTTCGGTGGAGTTATGTATTCATGTGCTGGGTCAGCTGGGCGATGAGTGTCGCAAGTTTGTTGTGAAAGCCAGCTTTCCATGGCCGAAGGACGACCCGAAGGATGATGAGGAGTATTGGGCTTATATGAAGTGGGTGGATGAGTGGAACCAGGGTATCAAGGCCATGGCGGATGAGGTGGGAATTGAGACAAAGTATGTCGAAGGTGCGGAACTAGGCAGAAATGAGGTTAGCCAAGTAGTTTACGTGGATTTTCTGCCCACGGCCCTGGCAAAGGGAACGTATGTGGCTGCTCCAGAACCGCAGGTTGTTGGGTATGGGTTGGAGAGCATTCAACAAGCTCTTGAGATTCAGAAGAAGGGGGTCAGTGCAAAGAAAGTTGTTGTGAGCTTGGAGGAGTAGACCGATCAATTATGCTACCTACATTCAACATACATCTTATGCGTCACCTTCGGTACAATGTATACTCTCCTGCAATATCTCCACCTCGAGCCGCAGCGGCTCTCTAAGATGACAGCTGGAGCCCTTGAGTGAAGATAAAAGGAAATTATCATTAGCATAGGAATGTTGATGATACATAAAAAGCTGTAAATGGAACCTTCTCCAAGCCAGCCATCCATCTTGGTTCTGTCTCTTCCTCTGTGACTGTGCTACAGTTGATGACTCTCAATATTTTCCGCCGAGACACTAAGGCATTGCCGGATCCTGCTCCTTGACGCTATGTCTTTTAATATCCTGCCACCCCATTCCCCAAGCAAAACAGAATGCCGTCCCTGCAGACGCACAAACCAAATAAAACACATGGTCAACACTCTCGCTATACGCCTTCAAGACACCGACCGACTGATCTGCAGAAACTAGACCCCGAAAGCCCGTCGCACCAGCAGCGATAATGGCGCTTGCATCTACCCCTGGTGCGTAGTGTGCGATTGCAACGGGCAGACTTTGGCTGAAATCTGTTTCGGCGAAGGTGAGGAAGGTGGCCCCACCGAAGTTCAAGGAAAATACGAGGATTGCCATGGCAACAGAGATTTGGGCATGCGGAATCAGATTTTGGACCGCGACGAAGGGCTAGATTGATGATCAGGCTGTTAGCAAGGGAAGTCGCCGCAGAAAGCATAGGGAGAAGAAGGGGTTTACCATCGCCGCAGCACTACCCAGGCCCGCACCAGCCAATATCTGGAATCCAACACGGTTTGCAGTTTTGTATGTTGGTGTGAGCATTGTGAGCAGTCCATACCCAATACTGGCTAATGCCGTTCCTCCAACTACCCATGGCAGATAAAAGCCGAAACTCTGGACTATATCTCGGAGTGTCAGTAACCAATATACCCCAATGATCATGAATTAGGGGGGGGGGGGGGCACTTGCCCATAATTCCCGACAACATAGGCATGGTGATCTGCAGCAGAATATCAGGCAGGTAATAAACACCACTCATGATCGGTGATGCTCCCTGGACCGCCTGAAAATAAATCGGTAGATAGTATGCGCCATACGTCAAAACCCCCGTTATGAAAAACATCGTCAGACAGCTCGACCAGATAATCCGCTTCCTCAACATTGAAATTGGAATCATGGCATCGTCACCGCGATAGTACTCCCAGCTCAGCAACACAAGAAATGTTACTTCCGCGCCAATGAGTAGGCCAATCACTGTGGAGCTACCCCATGGATATTGATTCCCACCATACTGAAGCGCGAGGAAGAACATGATTGCGGCGGGGGCAAAGATCAGGAAGCCGAGAATATCGAGTGTTGTGACAATGGTGCGGAGAAGGGTTTGTAGGTTAGGTTTTGCGATGCGGTCGGGTATGTCAAGCGTAGCGAGGAGGGCGAGGACGACACCGCCGATAGGGAGGTTGATATAGAAACACCTGTGTGTTGGATCTCTGTCAGCCACCGACCTGATCTAGGGTTCAAGACCAATAGGAACGAACCACCGCCATGTCACCTTTTCCGTAAAAGCACCTCCAATAAGAGGACCCAGAGCTTGACCCAACTGTCCGACTAGAATGATGATTTAGATGCTGTGCCGATGAATGTTGTGATGGGTTTCTTACTAGAAATAATCATTCCCATAGCTGCCGGACGTTTATGCTTGGGTAAACAGGCGGAAATCATCGTCAAACCACCATTCAGCAGACCCGAACCACCCAGACCAGCAATTGCGCGTGCTACAATCAACATCTTGGAAGATTGAGCAATGGCACAAAGCAGGGATCCAAGCTCGAAAACGAAGAAGAAGGCGAAGAAAGTCCACTGGTTTGGATTAGTAATTGTCTGTTCAATGTTATAAACAAAGGAAACCACTCACCTTAATACGCAAGTATGTGTACAGCTTGCCGGTTAAAGGTTGAAAAGCAGCACTGTCAATTCTTTTAACTTGCTGTCTCCAAGCTCTTCATGGATGCTGCACTCACCTGGCCAATTGATATGCGCTTCCATACCAACCCACATCAAGAAGAGAGTGAAACTCATCCGTGATATACGGAACTGCCTGAAGGATACTTAGTATGCCATCCCAATATGCTGACCATTGAGGTCCATATGCATACCGTAGCAATGATGGATTGATCGAGCATCATAACGAACTGGACAAGAGTTCCCGAAATCAAAATCGCCCACAGCTTGAATCCTGTGATGTATTCTTCATCTTCTTCCTGATTGTCATTCTCTTGCATATCATCGCCATGTGCAGACTTTTCCGACTTTGTTTCCACCATGGTCGTAGCAGTTGTATTAGGAAAAGAGATTTTTTCCGTCTCCGTTGCCATGATATGTGTTGGTTACTTGTTCCTGACCTTGAATATTTGATGATATGAGCAACTGAAGAGCCAACATAATAATATACACATCAGCTGTGGTCGTTTGCGCCTTCTCTGCCCTAAAGGAGTCGGGGTCGGCACACCGAACACCGACTCCCGAGCTGTAAGATCCCAAATATAGTGAATCTCGACCCGGAGTCACACTATTGACACTCATGTATGGATATGTAACAATGCGGGATTCATGCTATGATTCATTTGGATTTAGCATTTTATATCCTGGAATAAGGTTGATGTGAGCGTCGCGTGCTTCGAGGAAATTGAGAATAACGTCATAGCCAGTAGCAAAATGTACACTCAGACTTTTAATTATAAGAATTAACTAATCGCATCACCTTTATGAAAGCAGCTAGAGAATTTTAGTCCCCGCCCAAAATTACATCGAAGCTATCCCTCCACCAACCATCTTCGAGGAACAACGCTTCGAGCTGCATGCCACTGTTTCCATCCGGTTGGAAACCAGTATTTCCGACATGTACCCCTTCGACACCACCCTCCGCTAGTTTTGTTGCACACCAAGTTCTAACCGACGTGAAAATTCTCGTCGATTTATCCAGCGGGCCGCCCGTACACTCTTCGCCATCCGCCACTTTAGCGTGCTGGATATTGTTGATCAATTGGTCAATCACTTGCAGAACGTCGACCGTTGACCGTGCCAGATTGTTATCCCAGCTGGGGTCGTTCAGAGTTGACAGCCTGGACAGAACAATGAGGTAGCGAGCGAGCTGGGCAAAGAAGGGAAAGGAAAGGCCAGCGTATTCGACCAGCGGAATGTTGAAGAAATTTTCAAAGGCCAGTTTGACCGTGTTGAGACATGCGTAGAGACAGCCAATTCGTTGAAAACTAGGGCCAGAGACATTTTGTTTGGACAATGCCAGGCTGCACATGCTTAATTCTGTGAAATATAAGGAAGCCAGGAGTGGCGCTTATTGATAGTTAGCCCTTTCGCTGATCTTTTTTGGAAGGGGGAAGGTATCTGATCATATGGACTTACCCTCTTGCTGCAAATGTGGTGAGATTTGTGCCTTAACTTCATTAACCTTTAGTTGAAGAGCGCTCAGATAGAAGGCCGGCGGAGATGTTGTTGTGCTTCTTGCGCTTTCTACCTCCCCTGCAATGCGCTGCAGTCTGACCTGATGTGCAAACATCTCGTCGTAGGGGGATTCCGCACTTCGACTCAGGACATCTAGACATTCTTCCATATACGGCGTCCACTGCATTGCATCAATCTGGGCAAAGTACGAAGAAACACTAACATAGTTAGATATAAGTACGCTTGCAAGGATGAGAAACAAACATTGAGCTCATTACGAAACACCCCAGAACAGCACGTCTCTCCTCTAGAGATCTGGCCGGATCATTTAGGACCAGGCAATTCCCCCCTACAGGGAGCATGTTGGGATCATCTGGGAGTGGCTTGTTGAGACGAAGGTCAAACACCAACGACATGGCCAGCTGGGTAAAACGTGACAACCTCGCCGCAGTACCGTGGAGTAAATGGTCGTGGCCCCAAGCGAGGAATGTCAATAGACCGAGCAGCAAATCGATGTTGACCGCGGTCGAGTCATTGTCTAGAAAGATACGTTCTGTTAAGGTCTCTTTGATTCGTTCTCCAAGTTCAATCTTTGTCTGCGTTGATTGGGCAGACGCAGCCATGATGCAGAGGAACAAGAACGGTCGTTCTCGGCGCAGACATTGTGCATCAACAGGAATATGCAAGAAAGCGAAATATTTGAGCATGTGGGTGCGAAACTTCACTAAGCATTGTTCCGGTGACAGATCTAATGTTAGGGATGAGGTTGCCGCCGATGAGGCTCCACTTGTAGTGGAGAGAGGGGAGATGGCAATGGAGGTGGAGGCGGGTGGGGTAAGGTGATCAGCACCCGGATGAGAGGCATTGTTCAACGAGACTGGCCCGCCACCCAAGAGGTGAACAAGGCCATCGAGCTTCTCTTCTAGACGATCAATGCGAGAGAAGGGGTTGTTCTTTTGGGCCGGTACGCGAGTCGAGTCGCCGGGCAGGCAAGGTTTCTTCAGACGATAACATCTCTCGCAGCCCTGACCACCAGGTCTCGTGACGCATTTACATTTAGACTGTGAACAGCTCGCGCAAGCCTATTTAACAGTCAACCAAAGAAAGCAGTATGACGGATGGGGTGTAAGGTAAAAGGGCAAGGGGGTACATGCCCGTCCGTACCGCTGGGTGGCGGAATTGCGATCGGGCGGCATCTTCGGCCAGATCCACACTGGACCTATTGAAATTGTGTGACTATTTCTTTTTTTTTTCTTGTTGGCACGACAGCGACAGCATAATACGGCATCCGGGGCCGATGGAAAGGGAGATTAGGAGTCACGCACTCTTGTAACAGAAGAAAGACCGGTCTTTGTTCCTGCCGGTGACTTGGATCGGAGTTCGGACACCGGATCCCCGATGACAGGGGGGTTCTACCTAAGTAAAATCAGACAATTTCAATTGTTTGTCCGTGATCAGTCAGAAATGAACAAAATCTAAAGGCTAGATAGTTAAATGTACTCTAGATTGTGATATGGAACAGCTGCATCAAATAAAAGGCACCTAAAGTCATGGAATTGGGTTGAATTCAGGTCTCTAACATTTATATACACCCTCTATATTGTCCATCATGGCAGGCAGCATCGGCTCGGTTATCCATCAAATCATTTCCTTGGTCCCTTTCTGGTTCATCGCGGCTTGGGGATTAACAGTGACTGTTGCCTTTACCCTATTCCGGGCCTACAAAGACCCTCTCTCCAAGATCCCAGGTCCGATCTTCTCACGATGGACCGGCGTGGTGGAAACCTCGTACCAAGTCCGCGGGCACAGACATGACTACGTTCACAGTCTTCATCAGAAATACGGTTCGAACGTCTCATCGACGGAGTGGAGGTTCGAATGTCACCAGAGCTGATTAGACCACAACATCGATAGGACCTATTGTTCGTTACGCTCCTGGTCACATCGATGTCTCCGACATCGATGCCGTGCTGATTATCCACAAAGTCAACAAGGGATATCGCAAGTCGGATTGGTACCACTCATTGGCCCCTCCGGGAGTAGAGACGCTCATGAACCTCACCAACCCCACCGTCCACACCCGTTGGCGTCGTCTGCTAGGTGGTCCCTTCCAAGACAACTACCTTCAGAAATTAGAGTCCGTGGTTGCAGAGAAAATGGCCACAGCGCTCTCCAAGATGGAGGAGGAGCTGGAAGAGAGAGGCTATATTGATGTTTTGAAATGGTGGATCTACATGGCCCTCGATGTCATCACCGAGCTCAGTTACGGCGCCAGTGTGAATATCTTGGAGGACGAGGAAGAAAATCGGTATATCATGGACTATCTGGAGGGACTCGGTCCTATCCATGCAGTCCGAACCACGATGCCGTTTGTGATCACGATAGCCAACTGGCTCCGGTTCCCGATATTCAACAAGCTCCTCAACGCAGGACCCCGTGCAGCGGTATGGGCGGTGGAGACGATCAAGGCATATAAAAAGCTGCTCACTGAGGAGAATCCCAAGCCGACTCTATTCACTCCTCTATTCGATAAAGGCGACAAGGGCTTTACAGATACCCAAATCACTCATCTTGCAGGATCCAACATCACTGCAGGTAGCCATACAACGGCCACTGTCATGACCTTCACAATCTGGGCCATCTGAAAGCATCCCGAAGTACGCGACAAGCTGGTGGGGGAAATCTCACAGCTACCGGAGGGATTCAAGCATAACGATGTGCAAAATCTTCCGTATCTGAACTGCGTCATTCAGGAATCGGTCCGTCTTTATGCCGCCGTTCCCTCTGTGCTACCTCGGGCTGTTCCAGAGGGGGGCGTTGAGATCAGCGGTTACTTCATTCCCGAGGGTACCACAATCTCCACGCAATGTTACAGTCTTCATCGGAGGGAAGATTATTTCCCCAATGCTCTCCAGTTTAGTTCTTCCCTCTAACAACTTGTGGCTGTAAAAAGTCTGTATTTAATTGACTTGCTTTTTATCTAGATTTGATCCTGAGCGCTGGGTCAACCCAACTAAAGAGATGGAAGAGGCATACATGGGATTTGGCGCCGGTACTCGATGTGCGTGACCTTTTACTTGCTTTCCTTTGACTCGCGTGGTATAGGAGAACTAACAGATTTACTAGCCTGCGTCGGAACTAACCTTGCCCATACGGAACTGCGGCTCGGGGCGGCTAATTTCTTTCGCAAGTTTCCCAAGGCCAGGGTTTCGACCAAGGAGGGAATGAATGATGATGACATGAGGCAGAGGGCTTGGGTCTTCACGTCCCCGGTTGGCCATCGATGCTTGATTGATCCTTGATATTGTTGAAAGGAGATTTTCTCTTACCTACCAACACGATTAGGAGGCCAGAGATTACAAGTATGAGTCATTCTAGGTTTGGTTTATACAGAAGACGAACATCGGTGTTGTATTGGGTGGAGATGTATGAGTGGATAATTGACTTTTGCTCTCTGCAGTACTATAATCTATCTTCTATACAGCTTTCGGATGGAGACAACTGAATATGGTAAAACCAAACTTTATGGACCCCAGCCGGAAAAATAGTCTCCTAATATGCTCAATTCTAAGATCCTCGAATTTGTATTCCATTGGTTTGAAATGCAAGATGAAAACAAAAGCTCAACGTCAAATAGCCGAGCTTTTTTAACAATGATGTAGGGGAATGGGGGTCTTATAAACGATAGTTTGATAATTCTCTATCTGGTATCAGGCGTGCCACGGCTCCTATGATAAATGCCAAAAACCACTGAAAGGGACACTACTAAATTTACCCAAGCACTGAAGTCAGTTGAGAAGTGTGCTAAACCTATCCATCAAAGTATTCGTCGGAGTTTTGATGAGAATTTGATTTCCACATAGATGCTATGATGGTCTCGCTCATACGCTCAACCCGTGTCTTACTCTTGTTGCGAACAGTTCCTTTGTCTCTTGAATCATTCCATCTATATCATAATCCCAGATTTTGCGACATCGTGACTCGGCCTCAGCAAGGCCCTTAATAGCATCACTACCTATATCTGCCACCTGCCACTCATACATCTCACCAATGAGCCGACTGCTCTGCACAACCCATTGGGTACGTTCGTGACGTATATCTTGGTAGGTAGAGAGGGCAGCTTGCAATACCAACATTCCTCTCAGCAACCGCATCGGATGACTCTTGCAGCATTGCTGCAGCATCTTCTAATACGACCGCTAGGGCAAGGGCATCTTCAATGGCACACCCAGCACTGGCACCGTGATGAGGAGCCGAAGCATGAGCCGCATCGCCAATGAGACCTATGAGACCTGCTTCAGAGACATACGAAGTCGCAGGGTTATCGAATAAGTCAAAGATACCCCACTTATCCAGCCTCTCGTCCAGCATCTCCATGATCGAGATTACGACAGGACAAAATCCGGAAAAGTAGCGAACTGCTTCATCTTTGGTCGCTGGTAGAGTGAGTCGTTCGTTGCTCGGCCATTGTCCTGGGTCGGTGACAAATGCCACAACATTGAGGATCGTGCCCATGGCAACGGGAAACGTGAGGAAGTGGCCGTTCTGGCCCAGGTGCATGTATCCCGTAGATGATTTGTTTTCACCAAGAACTTCTCTTGCCTTTTGCATTGGAATAAGCCCGCGAAAGGCAACCTTGTGGCTGTAGGATGGCTGAGAGGCGGGATTGTCAACTCCAAGAATGAGCTGACGGACTTTTGAGCGCAAGCCATCACATCCCAGCACAATATCAGCTTCTGCTACTGTGTCATCACCAAAGTGCAGAATGGTTTTCGCATCCTTATTTCCACCATAGCCTCCTTCTGTTACAGCAATAACCTCCTTTTTGAACTCGATACAATCCTCGGTGATCATTTCAGCGAGCCCGGCAAGGAAGTCTGACTGTCGACAACCCTCAAACCCTCAATTTCCCAGATAGATTTTGAACAACAATTCCTTCAGAGGTTTCTATTTTTGACATTATGCAGAGTCCGTCTCTCGCAGTCCTAAGCGACAAAGTCGCGTCAACCAGTGGTTACGTTGTTGTATCTTGATCTCACCTTTTGCCAACGAGGCAATTAGCTGCCAGTGCAGAGGAGCAAAATTGACACAGAGACCATGTCGCATTGAGAGGCACCAAGGGGATATCAAGGGGCCCGGGGGGAGAATGGAGAAGGAAGATAAGCTTAGGCGATCGCTTTGTGTCACCTGGCACCTCTCTCCAACATAGACCATGTCTTCGTCTTAGCCTATGACAGCTAAATATATATTATGATATTAAAAACCAATAAATTGGCTCTGTTTACGAAGTTACACGCCGATTCAACGTACCGAATTTAACACACTCTTCACACGCGATAACATCAAGCGTAGGCTGAAACTATGCTTGGGGCCAGAACGAGCGTGATCGATTGGGTGTTATTCTAATTTTGGCTTATCGAAATGTGCTATAAGCTTATTGTTTTGTATCTTAGTTATCTCTCATGTATTCTGGTGCGAAAGGCTCCGGGTGCCTTATATATTTCCGCACCAGGCGATTCAACACGATGAACGCCATCTACATTAGAATAATTGAAGTGAAAAATTTTCTAATCTTTGTTAACTATGATGGTATTGGCCGACATCCCTTGCGTGCTAGGAATTATATTTAGTAGAGTTCGAGACAACGAGAGACCCAGATTCATCCACACCATTTGTATCACCAGCCACCGTCTTAATATCCATACACAGCGTCCTAGGTACAAGATCAAATAATATTGAAAGATATGATTTGTTATTTTCCTAGTTGACTAACTCGAGTTCAACTTGTCAACCCGCCAGATTAGGCAGCAACGCATTGGTAAAGTTCCAAATGACTCCCGCGTTATGAGAAACCATAGCCGCACCAGCATACCATGTGCTACGTTTTCCTTGTAAGCCATATAGTTCCTCATAGAATCCATTGCCAATAGCATCAGCTGAAACTTTGAGTTTGAATGGGGTATGCGATCGGTACTCGACCACCGTAGGAGTGGTGGTCGTGTAGTTCCCGGCCTTCTGCAGCTTCTGGATGGCGGCTATGGTCGATGCCTCTACCTCCCGCTGTGTCACGCTGACTGGGCTGCGGTACCAGGCGTAGAACAGTCCAGAGATACGTGTCTCAACTATCTGACAGGCGTCGGGAAGCTCGGGAATATTGTAGGTGCTAAATGAATCATTCGCATTGATCCATTCGTACCCAGAGGGCAAGCCGGTGTTATTGAGTAGAATGGTGTAGTAGCCCATGTAGGTAGACTGCGAGAAGAGATTGTTTTCTTCGTTGTTCAGAGCAAAGGGCTTCATATTGCCTAAGGTTGGAGGAATGGTGATGAGAAGTTTGTTTGCCTTGATGAGCCTGGAGCCCGAGGGGGTTTTCACAACCAGTTTCACGCCAGAGTTGCCCACTGGTCTTGATGCAGCAGTCACGGTTGAGGAGAGGAGGGCACTCGAGCCAAGCTCAGCCAAGGCTTTGACGTATATTTCACTGTTATCATGGTTTGCGGTGCCCAATCCCCCACCCTTTGATTCATCAACGTAAGCCTGATCCACCATCTTCATCACGTTGATTGTCAACTGTTGAAGAGGGTTTGACAAGCCCGATGTACTGAAATAAATGTAATATGCAAGGTCTGTGAGGTTGTATTTGACGATGAATTCCCCGAAAGGCAACAAGAGGTCTGCTGGAACCGGCTGTGGTCGTCCCAGGTAGCGTCCAACCAGGGATATTTGGCCAACTGCTGGGCCCATGGTGTGAGGCCCTTACTGGTACAGGCTGAGCTTTTACATGTTAATAGAATTCGCCAAGGCTAGCCTCATGCATCTGTTACGTGCCGGCGGCTGTACCTCACATACGAATCTAGGCACCATTGATGGCGCATGAACTGTTTATCTCACTAGTTTGCTCCCTTTCAAAGCCTCGGAGTTTCCATCCGTAGTATTGGTTTTCACCGAGCAACCTCACTTCTCCTAGTTGTCGGGTTTTCTGTTTCCGATTTTAGTTCAATATTACCATAAAACCAACGCTGCGGGAAAGTAGAGCGAAATGGATGTAGAGGGAGCTTACTATGGATATAATTATAGAAATTACCGAATTGAGACGGCTAGGAAGTGTTGTTTTATTTCATTCATCCTTGGATTTCAATTGCGCTATAGCTGGGTTAAAGGGTTATAATTTAGTAGGAGTGCTTTTATATAAGTTAAATAGATCTCTGCAAATTTTTATTAAAATCGGTCCCAAAATGCGTGGTCTACCTAGCCCTGATGTGAAATGCTAATATAGGTTAATAAAGGCTCCTAGGAACCAATGAAATACACTGAATACCGGTAAGTAATATATAGTAAAGTGACTTTAGGCTCTATACACTCCCCCCCATGGGATAGGTAAAAATAAATAGGCTTCACATTCGAGTTTATATCATGATATAGGTAAGTAAAAAAAATAAAAAAATAGTAAATACCCCTATATAGAGGTTGTAGTATGTGCCTGTTTTTGGCTAATAGAACCGCGGATTATATTTCTAGGGCTGAAAATATGCGAGATATTCCAAATACCTCACCTGCTCCAACCGACCTCCAAAGCAACAAAGACCTGTTCCATCCGTACGCTGACGGCCTGTCAAGTCTAGACTTATGGATCGTGTCTAGACCTTTGCAGGCTTATGATAAGAGTACGTTTCTCTGAAGAGTGGGAGTGGAAGCCGACAAGCATTCAATTTGGAGGCAAAGATTCCAATTACTGGATAAAATGACGACACCTGGTAAGAAATTCCTTGCTGTTTTTGGATAGCCTCGGCTAACCGGATCCTATCAGACCATAACTAGAGCTGCTGAAATGAGCTGCTTTAGATCTGGCCTATTTCCAATTCTTTGAGTAATCGGTGCGCCGGGTCTGGGTTGCTGCTGCGTGCCTGTGCTGCGTAACAGAGTTTGAAATTGCCGTGTAGTCAGGAAGCCCATATTCCGCTTCCTTCTCACGCCTTGAACAGAGAGCACGGCACCTGTAACGATGGGTGAAGCACTGGACGTGCCGCTGAAGAGGTCTGTATACCACAAGTCCTGGCTGATGCCACCTTGCAAGTCGCCGTATCCAGTGGATGTGACCTCACGCCCCCAGCCTTGACAATCAACCCGAGAGCCCCAGTTAGAAAATTCTAGCCGAGAAAGGTCCGGACCGTGATTGCGGCCATGGGTCCCCGGTGGAGGGCTTCCAGCACCCACCAGAATGGCGCCAGAGGAATTCTTTGTGTTGAAAGGATTTCGCCACCAGCTGGGGAAGCCGGCTAGGGGTGTGTTATAGATGGGGGAATCGAGATTCTCGGCCCCATTGCCCGCAGCTTCAACCACCACAATTCCTTTCGCAACTGCGTAACGAATTGCAGCCAATGCATCTGGCCACCATTCAATAGCAATGAAACCCTTCTGCCCCTGAAGAGGCTTTGGAGCATTGGGTCCTGGTGCATGGATCTCGAGCAGTATGACATCGCCTTTTCGAAGTCGAGCAGCGGCAGCATAGATGGCCGCTGAAGTTGGCTGTCCAACAAAGGATGAGGCGCTAAACATGGCACTGGGTGCAATCCCCACAATTCCTCGGTGATTGACGTCTCCACTGATCACTCCAGACACCGCCGTGCCGTGATTGACAAATGAAGTGTCTGTACTATTTGTACCGGCGATAACACCGCCTTGGAGTTCCTTTAAATCTTCATGGGTAAACCTCCATCCCCATTCACAGTCGATAACTCTCATGTTCTCGCCCTTGCCGCCAGGCACCGTATGAGCGTAATCAACATCGATGCCTGCCGGTGCGTTATTCAGATACGTCTGTCGTGGAACGTAATTAGGGGTTTGACTAGGTGCATCTTGTGGTGAAGCTTCAATACGGATATACTGTGGAGGAGAGGCGGATGGGACTACATATGCCGCTTCGACCATATCCTGTTGATTTATCTCACTGGCAAGATCATCCAGACTATCCGCAGCGCCATCGACGTAATAAAAACTGGCCATGTCAGGTAGATGTGTCAGATCCGTCGGCTGCGCGTCTGAGGTTCCATTGTCTTCCACAGTGGGAACATCATTGGAGCGGGACAGTTTAAGGGTTTCCTCTTGTTGTGTGCGAAGACGGTCCTCGTCCTGGCCAAAGAGCAATTTCATTGATGCATGGTTCCGTTCGAGCAAGGCCCGTAGTGGAGCAATATCCGCGCTCACTGGCGTTAGTCCCGTGTTGCTGAGCTTGACCGGCGAGGAGGACTTGAATATGACAATGAGGTGGGAACCAGTGTCTGGAGGTGTAAACACCTCTCCAAAGTTATGTGCCATATTTCCTGATAGTCAATCAAGCCTTCAGAATAATACTTAAGTGAGCAGAGGTGTGTTAGCGATAGTTACCTCCTTTTATAAGTGTCATGAGCTCTTCAAATGGGGATACTGTAGATGATAATATCGGGTTAGTCTAGGCCCAGATGGGCGCACGAAGAATGTACATGAGCGAGACAGAATAATATCACATACCTCTACGGATCTGAAGGATGCTGCTTTCGTCTATTAGACTGGTCTGGATTCATTAGCTAGGATTGTGAAGTCGCCAATGTTCGTGTCATAACGACTTAATGTCTTTGGAAAGGTAGAAAGAAAAGGACTACGGATTGATTCTTCATGATGCCATGGCAATAAGGTTTTAGCTTTAAGGAATAATTATGTAGATTAAACCACGATGGATTCGTGCTCACCCCTAATAACAGCTCTCTATTGGCCTGGCATGTAATACAGCCTATTAATATTAGAGTGTTGAAGTTTGAATTTGGACCTAGACACTGGCAGCCCAGTGGGGCCGCCGTCCCAGATCGTATATCAACGTCAAATGAAACTTTTTATACTTTTGGTACCGTAGCCAATTGCCGTGGCGCCCATTCACAATACCAGATAAAATACTTAGTCAATTGTGTTACACACGCAATTCAATTCGATCTTCAATCAATGGGTTCGGAACCCTATACTGGAAATGATTCGATGTAACACAGAAATGCAATGAGCTTTTATCGGGATTCCTCGAACAAGTAGCATATATCAAACTCTTTATGAGGAACCTTGGTTGATAAAATTAATTTAAGGTTTCGGATGATCAAGGTTCTGTCACAAAGCGAACCCTAGATTTTCATGGTCGCTTAGTCCATGGTTCAAGACGCTGGGTGTAGGTAGCCATGGCTGTGCGCTTGCCGGAGTAAGTGGAGTGGATCCAGAAAAGTTAATTCGCGTAGGAGACTCGTGATCAAATCCCGGATCGGAAGTCAGGTTGCTTCAGCCCCGTGTTTCGATAAGATACAGCGTACAGCGGTAGCTGACTGGTGGACTGGAGGAAAAAAGAAGAAGAAGAAGAAGAAGAAGATAGAAGATGCAACAGGAAGAAGTATCTAACAAGAGATCCTGTAAACAGATCACCTGATCCTCCAACACAATATGATCAAACTTTCCACTATGATGATAATCAAGCACGAATGCCGGATCATTGCTAAGCTTCCATCTCATTGACTCGCGCATTATGTTAGCTTTGCGTAATATTAAACCAATTGTTATTTACGATACGTTATTTAACTGTCCAGAACTTTGTTGTTCCCTTCCGTGACACAACATGGTTGTAAATAAACTCAATTTTCAAGGCTGGTCGATGATCTTCTAGATTGTGTATTAACATTTAGAGATTGAAAACGGCCAAGAAGCCAAGACACACTCAATTTCCCTTTGAGCTCGTACCCAGTTGATACCGATTGGTTACATACCAGCGGAGTGTGACTTTGAGAGTGAAGAGAAACCGCGATGGCCGAACCACGGACGAAATAAGCACAAGGTTACGGGTTCGGATGATCGACGTGCATCATGTGGCGTACCCGAAATTGACGGCGGTCATCCACTTCAGACGCTAAATTTTAGATTAACCTAAGGGGTAAAAAGGTTAAGTGCTCTGTCACTCTGTGTTAATAAGTTCGTATTTCGGATCCCCACCGTAATTGAATCCGCCAGCCTAAGGGTATTGGGTTAGCTACTATTTGAGGCTTTATTCGGCTACCTAAAGGTATTATAGGTTTTAGGTAATATTTTTAATCGGCTATTGCTTACGCTATAGCTAGGTTAAAAGGTTATAATTTAGTATAAGTACTTTTATATAAGTTAAATAGATCTCTGCAAATTTTCGTTAAAATCGGTTATAGAATGCGTAGTCTACCTAGGCCAAATGTGAAATGCTAATATAGGTTGATAAAAGTCCCCGCAAACTAATAAGATATACTCAATACCGGTAAGTAATGTATGGTAAAGTGACTTATGGCTATATGGGCCGCCTCCCATGAGATAGAATCAATAAATCTTCAGTTTTACTCGCGGCACCTTAGAGTAGATTCTAAGTGAAACTAGGCCATTTGCTTTTAATTCTTGGTATAGTGATCCACTTACGTAGTTCTAGTTTATCATTGTCGAGGCCGCATCACATAGTTGTTATCCTTATTGTGAAAAACTCTGATCTTCTCCCTTTTTATCAAAAGGTATTGGCTATTTTCAGGTTATCCATGATTTCAATCCATACCTATGAATGGCCTAGAATACAAACATTGATGTTTGCGGATGCCAGACTACTGATCTAAGTCATACATGAGAACTCGACTTCATTTCTATGACTTCATTTCCATGACTTCATTTTCATTCACTCGCTAGAGACTGTCGCTCATGTGATAATCCTAATCTAGATCGATTGTGTCTATATAAGTAACCGGCTTCTCGCTCAAACCTAATGTATCTATCTCCAATTCGCAAGAACAAAACCCTACATCCTAAATCAACTGAAACATATATTTGTAACCCCCACTTACTTTTATAATATCCTTCCCTTCAAATTATCCCTTCAATTATATACCATAGGTACTACTACTAGTGACACTGTCCCTGGATCGTGGATTGTACTTCTTAATATTGTGGGATTTCAACCAAGGTATTCTTTTCTTTGAATTCGACCAGCTTCACTCTAAGTGTCTTGGTCGTTTCGAGTTTGTTTCCGCATATTAACAGGTATACATAAAAATAAGAGGCAAGGTACAACTAGGATGACCATGTGAATCAATGATACAAGTGGAGCCTGGGTGTTCCCTGGACAAGGGGATAGTTAAATTTTTGGGGCCACATTGTGTGAGCTTTTGGTCTCACTCATTTCAACACACCCTAGTTGATATCTTCGGGAATGGTTTTTGCCTCTTCCAATTGGTATCATATGGGCGCTACTGCAGTAGATTCCCCGTCGCCGCTCGAGGGGTGGGGGTGAATCGGTATTCGGATTCCGGTTTACCGGGTAACTGGGGCATCATGTCGCAGCCTTGGTACAATTTACACACCACACTGATACGTTACAGATGTATTAGAATACAATATATTCAAATGGAACTAGTGTGAGAATACAATCTTCCAAATAACAAAAAGTAATCACATACAACCCCATCAAACTACTATTATAAGACCGAGTTAGATAATCTGGGTCCTAGACGTCGGGAGTCCGAAGATGGATTGACTGAGCGGGACCGGTCCCGAATGCCGATCAAACTCGCAGGATGTATCTACGAGTACCCCTTAGATATTGTAACCTCTCCTAGCATTCAGCAATCATTCCCGTCCTCGCAGAATACCCGATAACTTGACCGAACTTGGAATACCCTCGCCATGAAGCTCATTGTAGCTGGTGCAACCGGTCTGGTGGGCACGGAGATCATCAGGCAATGCCTGGAAATCAGCGAGATCACCCAGGTTACCGCACTAGCTCGGAAGCCCGTCCATGTTGAAGATGGAACAGACCCGAGATCGAAGCTCAAGAGTGTGGTGATTCGTGACTACGGGGAATATTCCGCCGATGTGAAGGCTGAGTTCGCCGGAGCGGACGCCTGCATATGGTACGCAGTCTCGTTGATTATTATGGCAAAGAAAAACGCAAAAGGAAAAGCCACTGACGCAAGTTGCTTTTAAGGACTGTCGCCGTGACACCATTCAGAACAGGCAGCTTTGACTTTGCGGAGGTCAAGCGCGTGTGTCAAGACTGTACTCTCGCGGGATTCAAGGCCATGTACGAGGCCGGTCCCGCAAAACCCTTCCGTTTCATCTACTTCAGCGCGGATGGCACACCCAGAGATCCGACCAAAAAGCCAGCTATCATGGGTGACTATCAAGTAATGCGCGTGAGTCATATTTCCAAGAGCCTATTTATGTGTTCTTGTGCTAAAAACAATCTGCTTTTCAGTGCGAAACAGAGCTCATGGTCATCAAATTTCCTGCACAGTACCCGGGGGTCGAGATCTGTATTGCTCAACCCGGAGTGGTAGTAAATTCCACTTCCTTTGGGAGATCTGTATTGGCCTCGGCGTTCCGTGTCGTCAACAGTTTCACGCGCGCAATCCCAAATATTCATCGACAGGAGCTTTCGGCGGCAGTTCTGGACCTAGCTGTGAAGGGATTCGACCAGGAAACGGTTAAGAATAACGATCTAGTTCGTCGTGGACAGGAAGTGCTGAAACAGAAGGGGGAATCTAAGCGTTAAATCGATATATTGGGGAGAGAGAAACCAATTTCTATTCTTTAGACTGTTGATTATGCCTACATACTTCACTTCCATTTTAATACCATATTCCTAATTTGATGTTATCTTGTGCTAAGGTATCTTTACTTGAGTGACTGCTGTTCAGTTATATAACGACAAATATTTAGTTTATTCCCTTGTCCCCACTCTTGGGTTGCCGAAGATTGTTATATGGAGAGCTCCAGCGGTATTATTACGATTAAACAAACAGTTTATCCCCCAATCGGCGATGAACAATATATGAGACTGGTTATCTAGTCTATGACCTTGTATTTGGGAGGTACTCGAGTCAAGCACCATTAACATCAGGCGACAGGTCTAAAACCTTCTTAAACACGCATGTAGGATCATACTTCGGCTTCAAATCCCTCAGCCGTGCCGTATTAGATCCGAATACCTTCTCGGCTTTGGTTTTATTGCCTAGCCGAGAAATCAGAATCTGTCCGAATTCTTCAAAGCCGTGTGCATATGTGGTAAAGGGAGGGAGTGGATGGCTTACTGAAATAATTCGTATAACTGCTCGTACCATCACTATACTTATCCCCCTTAAAGCCCGTCTTAGCAGCAATATACTGCGAAAAGAATCTTGACAACAAACGCGCATCAGCATCTCTTGATTCATCCGTCCAATTCATCGTAATGCAGGTAGATAAGAACTAGCCCCGGTTTCCAAACGCAGTGTCTTCAATGGTAATCTGACGAATCTAATAAGTCGGGTAATACTCAAAGGTCAGGGTGCTGCCTTTTATGTCCTCATTTTCTGGTAGTCTGGTGGTCCTCCAGAAGTGTTCGGCGATTTGTAACCCGTAAGTGACGTTCAGTGGCAGGGTGAAGTTTAAGCCACCAAAGAGATGTCGGTCCTTGGGAGTTCGGTGGTGTTTATTAAACATTAGGTTCACCTCCGTATACGGCATAGTTGCAGTGGTGTCTCCTATTAACTTGAGGTCGTATAGGGGCTTGAAGAACTCTTTCCCTTCATCTTTAGTCCCGTTGTAAAACACCACGGCAAGAAGACCAGCAGCCCTATCTGGAGGGATGAAGTTTCCAACAATGATTGAAAGCATGGAGTTGCCATCGGTAGTTCTCACTATGAAAGTGTGCAGTTAGTTTCTGTCGCCCATCGCAAGTCTGAACCTCAAAGCTCACTGAATAGGTTGCCAAATTCGATGACTTCGGCCAATTTATCAGGTGGATAAGCTAGAAAGCCAGCCCAGCAATCCCCCTGAGGATAGGCCTGCGAAGTAAAGTTCGTAACAATCCCAAAGTTGGGCCCAGCACCACGAAATACCCAGAATAAATCGGCGTTCTCATCTTTATTAGCGATGATTATGTCTCCATTAGCAAGAACCGCTTCACAGCCCAAAAGGCAATCTAGCGCTAGACCACGACGGCCAGTCAGGTAGCCATAGCCACCATCCAAGATAAGACCACCAACACCTGTGTCACCCACGACGCCACTGACAGTACCGAGACCATGCTCCCACAAGGCGCCATTGACATCCTCCTAGGTACACCCACCACCAAAGGAAATCGTTTGTTTATGCGGATCAACGACGGTAGAGCGCATTTTAAACAGATCAATGACCATGCCACCATCAGAAGCCGAATCTCCGCTCGTAGAATGTCCACCACCGCAAATGGCCAGTGGAAGCACATCGTGCTCTGTCGCGTAACGAAGAGCAACGCTCACTTCTTCAGCAGTAGTAGGGCGAACGACGATGGCGGCCGGCTTGATACACGATGCACTCCATCTCTTCAAGGTTTCCTTATAACCAGAATCACCAGGGACGTAGATCTCTATGCAGGGTAAGGATTGACGAAGCTCATCGAAGCTGGATGCTGCCATTTGGTAAAATTAGGCAGAGGTTTGAAGAGATGTCGTGATAGGAGCGAGAGTATGCGAATCCTTCAGAAAACCTCGAATATCAGCCAGCTATATATCTAGATTCAAACCCCATCTTTCCGCAGAATTACTTCGCATAGCTCGGGGCCAAGGAGCGGGCGGGCCGGTATCTGACATCTGCCCACACTGTCGAATGGCGATTCGCCATAATCCTTGTTTATCTCATTATCCTATTTTATGCTGATATCAGCGTTGCTTCTGGCTAAATATCGGACAAATATTTACTCCAATAATATACCGCATTGTTATATTGAGCGGTATTCGGCCACCGGTCCCGCCCCGGGCCGCTCCCCCGGGTTTTAGGGGATACGATTGCAAAGTAAGTAACGGGCATAGAGCCTTTTATGAGAGAGGATCTAGAGAAATTCCTGAAAACTCTTCCAACACCTGTTTAAACACTTCAACACCCCTCAAAAACCAGTGGCCATCCCTATTAATTTACGCAGACGGTCTCTACGAAGAGACGTAGCCGAAGTGAGATAAAAGGCGCCAGATATCCAGCCCAAAAACATCAGGACTTGCCTTCTTCACACTCCGATGTGTCATGGTGTCACTCTCTTGCCTGCAGACTTCGGTTGCAGGCTTCAAAGTCTCCATGGCTACCTGAATATGGTGATTGCTTCTTTGAGCACTGTGATGCCAGACTTGCGCTTGCCCGCAGCAGGAGCTCTGCGTTGTACAGGCTGGTCGGCTCGGCCAAAGACCATCAGACTCGGGCAAGAAAGCATTATTCACGTCTGTCTCACAGGTCAGAAATATTGTGATGACTGTTGAGGTTGGATTGACGGTGACAGTGTAAATGCGGTGATCAATAGTTTGTGGATGGTGACAAGTGGTAAGCCTGCTTTGATAAACAGTTGACTGAGCTTTAGTAAACAGTTGACCAGCTTTGATAAACAGTTGACCCAGATTTGAGAAACAATTTGTGGATGGTGACAAGGAAACGCGTCGATGAGCAGACTGTTAATGCTGAGTGTGGACGCGTCGACAAGCGGAGGGTGAGTCGCTCAACAGGCGGTGTGTCACCCCTCGCGCACATTTTCGTCCGACTTGGGGAAGATCCCACCTACATGATTTATTTTCTGTCACAGGCCAACAGCCTTTCTAAAGTCCATATTGCAGGAAATACTGTTGTGGCATACTGCTGGTGTAAATCAGGAACCAAGCCGACGCATCATCATCAATTCTGAAGTATCTACACAAGGAATCGGGCTGGAAATCGATTTGACCTTCTCGCTGTATATATAGCCGCACGTCTCCTTATGAATAAATAGCACGTTCATACCTCTGAACTACAGACAATTTGACATCGAACTCGCATTAGTGGCCTTCATCTCTAGTACCACTCAATATTATGACCCGTGAGAAGTCTACACCGTCTCATCTTAGCACGAGCGTAATATATCATCAAACAGCTCCTGGTTTAAATTATTTCAAGGTCAATCACATACTATGTACAATAAGGCGATAAAGTTAATCTTCAGTCCGCCTTTCACAAAGGCAAATTCCATGTTGAATCGAATACTGCGCATGAGCCTTGATTGAATGACTTAGACAAATGAAACTTGACACCGTACACGTACGTTGTGTGTCTACATTGTGGGCTTCCCCTTACGCATGCTAACACACCGACAAGGCTACCATAATACCGACTTCTAATGTTATGATATATTGCGTTTGTCTCACTGACAGCAGTCATCGGTCTACGGGAACAAATGTATTTCACAATGGCCTGACAAGGGCAACTTCGCCGGCAGTCGAAGGTAGGTCCGCTTGAGGAAGGCAAAAGAGCCCAATATCCAACATCCATGAGCTTTGCCTGGTATGATGCGCAGCTGAGTCCTGATTTGAGTACTCGCTCTTCTTGGCATTAAGCAAGGCGCCTGATGAAACTACGACGGAAGCCCAGCAGGCGTTCCTCGTCGCTCAAAAGCCCACGGGAAGCATAGATGTTTACCCGATTAAACAAGTCAAGGCCTTGGTGATGATGCGTCGCGGCACATCGGCTACAAGACCAGCGACGGCCACCACTGCTTCTCGGTGAAAAAGCAGGTGACGGGAGCGCGTCGCGTCACGTCGCGTCATCGGCGATCAGGACGATGGTATTCTCTAGATCAAAGAAAGAGAAGCTTGCTGGGCTTAAGAGAGGCGGAAAAAACGAGCTCGCTCGGGATGACATGGAATTAGTCAACACAGAATCACACGCAGCCATGGGAATGGACATGCGATGACACAGATGTGGAACTCGGTGGAGACGACGCAGCCTGAAGAGATGGGGAAGTTTGCAACTCACACCATATAATCCTGGCACAACACCCAATCGCATGACTAGGTGATAAGCAACTGAGCTAGATGTCAAGCAACACTGTACTAGAGCCCCTCTTTGTTCTGCCATTTGCGGTTGGAAGGGTTAGCCTTACACGGCCATGGCTTCCTCTTCGTAGTTCCCACATCTACCCAGAGCGATTTTCTGGGTGAATTTGACATCGCTGACAGCCTTGCAACGGGCGGTCGTTCAGGAGACTCAGTTGGATTTCTGGGCTCTTTCTCAAATTGGCCTGCAGCACGCTCAAGACTCTACTGGCTACCATAGGGTAGGGAGTCTGGCCGTCTGGCGGTCACCTCCCGCTCTCGCCGGCGGATCACTTTCCACGCCTCGTCCCACTTCGGGCAGTCACGGTCGGTGACGGCGTGGTTACCTTGACAGGCGGCACACTTGACAACATCGGACGTGCACTGCACGGCGCGATTATGGCCCGCACATTTGCCGCACGCTTCGGAATTCGGGCATCGGTCCTCTTTGTGATTGTATTGCTGACATTTGCGGCATCGCAATGGCCTCGGCCGCTCATGAAATCTATCTGAGAACACTGCTTCTCCGTGTACATGCACGATTCGGCGATTGAGAAGTGCCTCGGCGTCCCCTTTTTTAGACAGATAAATCGCCATGGATCCGTAGCGTTTCGTTCCACTCAGCCAAACGATCTTTCTGACCTGTTCGATCTCATTTTCCTCTTGGAATGTCTGTGTGAAGCTCTGTCTTTGTGCCCCCGATGGTCCGTAGACACTTTCCTTCTTGACATCATTTAATTTCACGGGGAACCACTGCTCACCCTGCAACGTAGCTCCCGGCAAGAATTTCAGCCAGTGAGTGGCTCTGCGAAGATGTGCCAAGCTTTCTTCGGAGTCAACAAAGACCTTGATCGTAGTTCGGGATGTCGGCTTGACTCCGACAATCTCAACGTTCGATGTAGTCGTTTCCTCTTTCAGTGCGGCCCGGACCTTCTCGCGTTTTCGTGTGGGGTCGTCGACTAACGCTTTGGTTTCCTCGTTCGCTGATCGCAAGTCTAGGACGACAGCCAGAAGACCGAGACTCGAGCGCACGCTCCGGGTGTTAGAGGACACCACCGATGACTGGGACACAATCGTTGCCCAGCTTCGTCCGGTGCTTTCGTTCTTGGAGAGTTCGATTGCTGACGGCAAGGCAGCTATTTTGTACATTTTCCTCTGCCCAATTCAAGAGCGAGTATAGGAGCTTCCGCCGGAATCCTGACGGAGCACCTCTCTCGTGGTTGTCCTTGCTGTTCGCTATCTTGGCATTGGCATGCCGAGCGGAGGAAGTCCCCGAAAGGGCTCATCTGTTTGATAGGCTGTCGATAACGCATGAAAAGGCTGCTTGAGATTGTTTGTCTATCAACAATCCACCTTTTGAACCATTGATAGCCGCACTGAAGGCTTTGATACTCGTCATCTACGGCCGTGTTCACCGCGGAGAAGATGTATCAAGGGATCTTCCCACCGCTTACAAAATGGCAACCTCCACAAGCTGCCACCGATGCTCCACCCGACCAATGACTTGCGAGGAGCATGAAAATCTCTGGATTGCCCTGAAAACGCTTCTATTCATGACGCCTTCGCTTCTGTCGTGACGCAGTTTCTACAAAGCGAATCGTTCTTTTTGCTTCGCAAGCACAGTAGCAGTGTCTCACAGGCGGCCAGGATGGCGTTAGATGGTCTGCACGGCCAAAGTGAGCAAACGCCTGCTGCGCATCGAGGAATTCCTGTGCGGGCTTTGGGAATCCACCATTTTTTTCACAATAAGTACCATTGGCGATGTTGATGGAGAAACGCTCTTCAAGACTGGCAACGTGAAAGGCGACGCGCTTCCTATAATACCCACAGGAAATGCAGCAGTCATGTAGGTCTACATCCCCCAGAACTTGATCCTGACCAGCTTGGAACTTTGCACCAGGGATTTCAATCGAGATACGCGCGAGAATCTCGCCAACCCCCGGCCGTGAGCAAAGGATAGACCCTTCGCAGTGGAGTCCGACCTGGCAAGGAACGGGAGTCGCGTCGAATTCCAAAAAAAACATTGCCGACGCGAGCACCATCCTCACCAGCTCATCTGGAACGAAAAACTTCATCTCAGATTACTCTTGCAATACGCTGATGTCGTCCAGTTCGGGGAGCGGACTGGGAATGGCCTGATCGAGTCGAAGGACATCCGGCTTCGACCAGTGCGGCAGGTAAATCAGTGCTTCAAAAAGCCCCTGTTGTCCGTCCATAGAGGCCGATGACATTGTGGCGCGGAAGAGGCGAGGGAGAGCACTATCCCAGGCCTTGTGTCGCAGGCCATGATCGAGAGCAGGCGCGGTGAACCCGGTGCCAACCGACAAAAGTAGATCATGTCGTTTCGCACGCGGCCAAATGATGCCCGACTCCCTCAACGCTATGATGGCAAGCGGGCCGTTCGCGCGTACCCCGCCATCCTGAAAAGGGCCGAAGCCGGACAGACGTCCTGGCTGGAAATAGCTTCCGAATGTTAGCCGTCATGGTTGGAAATTCGATACCCGTGGTGTACTTACAAGGGCGCTGCGACAGTGCACTCGGCTCTGGTGAAAGAGAATCCTCCAAAATTGGCGCGGCAGCGCAGCATCTCCCCTCTTGGAACTTCGCCAGCACAATACAATTATGGAAGAAGCTTTTCAGTCTTTGACGGCAGGAAAAGTTCAAGAGTTGCTTGTATTCTGCGAAATCGGCGACTGCAACTATGAATATATCAAACAACACATCCTAGGCATTTCTGACTTTGGTGAGGCCCGGAACGCTCCTCGGCAGACAATTTTCACTGACATGTATAGTCCGCGAAAAGAGGCTCCAGGTAGGCATTACATATCCACCACCTCTTCTTACTCCCAGAGCTAGTCCGGATTCAGAAGCAAAGTGTGGCTCTTACCGGTTCCTCCCCAAACCTAAAAAAAGAAGTCGAGTGGACTACTCAGGGCTAGAGGCGCCGTCTCATAAGAATAAAAGGAGAAACAAAGGAAATACCACTGCTAAAGATACGGCACAAGAGGCGAATAGCTCCGCAGCAAGTCGGGAAAGTGACATACCATCCGAACCTCTGCCAACTTGACACATCTACTCCATAGCACTCACCAGACGAAGGCAGCGGCAGTGACGATGCATCGCATTTGCCGACCGCTGCAGCATTGTTAACGCAGATAAGTAGAACAGTTGGGAAAACCTTCTAACAGATGTCCTATACTCTGAATTTGACAGTTGCCCTCACACCTTTAGATCCTATCTTCGGCATCGCGATCTGATAGTCATGCTCGAAGGAGACATCTCTGGCATCTGTCTCATAAAGGACCATATCATATGAGCGAACTAAAACCGCAATCACCAAGCTGAGCTCGGCATTGGCAAGTTCGATTCCCAGACATTTACGGCTTCCTTTGGTAAACGCCATTTGGAACCGCTTGCGCTCCCGACCAGCCTCACCTAGCCAGCGTTCAGGGTCGAAGGTAAATGGGTCCGGAAAGACGGATTGTGCGGTATGTGCGCTAAGCGTGGAGATGCTCAATGGCGTACGTGCAGGAATTTTGTAGGATTTTCCGGTACCAGGAGTGGTAGCATAAGGCGAGGGAGTGTAGATTAGCTCCTCATGTGCACGGCGGCCAATGCGTGCTGTCACACCAAATGAAAGACGGTTTCCTTCTTCAATGACTGCCATGAGGTAAGAGAGTTTTTCTAGTTGGGGCCATGAGGCGTCAACCGGCACTGTTTCGAGCTCAGCGCGAAGCCTATTCAGAATCGATGGGTTGGCAAGCAGGTGGTAGAAAGCTATGCTGAGGGATAGGGCTGGGGACTCGGTTCCAGCCAGGGCGAGGAGGGCGCCTTCTTGCTCCAACCGGGTCAAGGTCCTTTCTTGGGGCGGAAGAGACTCATTGACCAGGAGAGACTCATAGACGGCTTCTTTTTCGGTCGTACTTCGCCCGCTTTTTCTATCAGCCCCAGATGACTGTGCTTTCATGATACCAGAAATTTCTCCGCGAACTCTCTGTCGTGGATCAGAAAATAATAAACGAATTGGGAATGATGTATGGACACTTACATCAAACAGGTTGAACATGTCAATGAGACCCGGGGGCATCAAGGGCCTGCTGATGGAGGTCGGAAGTGCCTCAAGGAAGTCCGGGATCCAGGGGAAATGTTTATTAATATGGACTCCCAAGAGGAGTTGCCTGCTGTTATTCCGAGATATACCTGCCTGTTCCTCATCTGCCAAGCTGTTCATTTTGTGCGCAAACAAAAAGTTGGTCACGACACTTGTTTCGATTAGCCCGGCTTTCGTAATAGAACAGAGAGCGCCACTCACTCGTTGGAGAATGCAAAAAAGAGGTCTGATAGATTGGCTTGCGACTTTTCTCTCGCGTGCTTCGCGATAAGCTCAGATAGCTGGTCGACCTTTTCTGTGACCAAATGCTGTAGGGATAGAACGTTGCGTTTGCTGAAGAAGGGCACGAGAGCTTCGCGGCGCAACTTGTGGAGCTTGGCATCTGCTGTGGTGCCTACTCCTCCAGGCACTCGCAGGGCCCGTAATGGGTACTCGTACTTATCTTTCAAACCAGCATAGACTGTGTCCAAGAAGCCAACGTCGTTGGTGTGAATTTCGTCTGGGGTAATACGGAGAATGGGTCCTACAAAATCGTTAGCTTCGTATTCCAGCGCCCGCTAGCGCAAAGCCAAGAATACTCAATGTACCATATTCACGGTGCAGTTCTTGGATCTTAAAAATATATTTGCCCGGAAGAACGACATCGTAGTAGAACTCGTACCACCAGGTCAGAGCGGCGAGGCGGGGACCTGGAATGTGGGCTAGAGGGTGAAAGAAAAGACGGCGGATTGACTCGGTCACCACCCAAAGAAGGGTCACGACAACGCTGGTCGTGACAATCTGAAGAAATGCCATAAGCGCTGTGGCACACAATATTTTGAGGACGAGCGATGGGTGAAAAAGCGTCAATCAGATTTCACCTGGGATATTTCAAAGGGCGGGGGCAAGGCAGTTGGAAACAAAGAAAATCCCAGCCAAGGAGGGCATTTCAGGGATCTATGGATGGATTGACTTTGCGAGCTGTATAATTGGCCCTAGAGATGGTTGATGTTATTTGTTTGTAATGAGCCCAGGCGCCCGATCGACATTGGGGGCCAAATACCATTGCATGTTTGAATGCAGCAAGGTTTCTGCAGGCCACAAGCGCAGTTGCCTCTTTTCCTCCACGTCCTATTTCCCATTCCTGCATGCCTCCAAGGATCCGAAAGGCAATGCATTGTCCAGAGTTCTTTTTTTCTTCGCTTGTTGTGTCCAACTTCCTTTCCTTAACATAGCTATCATGACATACACAACCCCGGCGGCATGCATTGCCATCAGTATTCTATTTCCAGTTCTTGGAATTATCGTGGTTGGCTTGCGCTGGTACACAAAGAAGCGCGCAAACCTTCCATTATGGATTGACGATTTTTTAACGATTCCGGCTTTAGTACGTTTACTCGCAATTTCTGTCCGCTTGTGAATATACCACTCATAACAGGATGATGATCTCTTTAGGTGCTAGAATTCATAATAGCCGCACTATTGATCTGGGGTGCGGCCACCGATTCTCTTGGGCGTGAACTCCCCCCATCGCCTATACCGGGGCCTAATGGCTATCTTTTCACGACCTCTGATCAACAAATAAGGCTGCAACAGGCATGTCGCTATCCCTCTTTGTCGATGTCTCGTATTAACTTTGAAAAGATTGAATACTTTGTCGAAATCGCAACCGTTCTTGCATTCGGATCAACTAAACTGAGTATACTATTCTTCTATCGCCGAGTCTTCTGTGACTCTCGAGTGGTGCGAACCGTTTTCGATATGGTAACAAGGGGGACAATTGTTTTGATCATTATCTGGACAATTGCCTTTACCTTTGGCTCTATTTTCAACTGTGGAGCACATCCATCCTACGCATGGGCGCCCGTGGCAGTGGTTGCAGAGAAATGTCATGTTTTTACAACTTTTTTAGAGGCATATGCTGTCTCCGATTTGATCTTGGACGTTTGGATCTGGTCGCTGCCTCTTCCAAAGGTCTGTTTCTTGATTATTTTAGAGTCGCAGAGGATCAAAAGTTGACATACTCGCATAGATTTTCTCATTACATATGACGATGCGTCGCAAATCGGCATTGGCCACTGTCTTTCTCGTGGGTCTTTTGTAAGTTTGATACATCACAGGGTTTAAACCTCTTACTGACGCGACATGAAACAAGGGCCATTGCCGCCTCGGCCACTCGAATGGTTATTTATATAAAATATATTGTGGATGCATTTGCCCACTCCGATGGAGGAAGTACGTACACGTAGCACATCCACTCCAATTTGTACAGCCGCTAATCGACTCAAAGCAATCATCACCTACCTTATGTTTTGGACGATGACAGAATGTGGTCTGAACCTTATAGTAATCTGCCTCCCCACTTTACGACCTCTATTGGCCAAAGCAACCCCGTATTCAGTCCTCGACAGCATCAGAAGTACCTTCAGCCTGCAGTCTTGCTTCAAACGGCAATCCGCCGACGAGGAAATCGGACGAATTGATTCACTTACAAGAATGACATATTCGAAGTCTAAGCATCCAGATCCCCCGGGTTATACATCTAGAGAAGACATCGAACTTCGGCCGTAGGACCGGAGGGCACGTAGAGGGTATGCAGTACGCCTGCAATTGGGATTCAAGTAGCGAGGGTAGTTGAGCGCAAATGAAACTACGCCCACGAACTACAATGGGATTATGTTTCTAGACCCAATCTTGAAACTGCTCACATTTTAATTTTGTAAATCATAACCAACCGTGCCCCACGTCATATCACCAAAACTTAAGGCAATTTAAATCAGCACAACAATCAACCCCTGAATCCTTCAGATGGTCGACACCGCGCGTAGGCACAACTACATGACTCAAAGAATCACATCAACCGCCGATCGGGGCCAGACCTGACTGTGGGGGTGGAAAATGCACCGGTCTTAGGTGCAACACGCACAGCAACGTCAGGCGACAGGGATCCACAATATCAGCCCTCTCCCAGGGATATTGCCCGGCCGTCAACCCTGAACGAAAATAAAGTTGAATGAGCTAGTGAGTCAGCCAGTAAGGAATGGAGCAAGGTAGGCCTTGCATACATTAGCGCCCGTGTAACCATCATTCTTAGAATTGATGTGATCATCTCTACCCCTCAGCAGGCAAACCGCATTTCTTCATTGGAATGTAGCAGGAACTTCTATTCTGGCGGGATGCCCAGCTGAGGCGGCTGGGGCTCGTGCATACGATGTTCATACCATTTGTCGTAGGTGGCTCAGTTGGGGCAAGATGCCAAGCTAGGCTTGCATCAGCAATCAGCCTTGCTGATGATAGTGCTCAAGTGGGGCGGTGGATCTATGTGAGTCGAAGGATTTATGCTTCCTTCCCTTTAACCCTTTTCATCCTCTACGTGACCACGGACTTCACTGCTAAAAAGCAACATGGTGTTTTTTTTTTCATCTACAGCTTTTGAATATGCTTCTCCAGATGGCGGGAGAATCTATTCCTCAGAGAAGGTACTAGAACGATTGAATGGCCTTTTTGGATTTTGGAGAGAAATTTCCATCGTCTTGCTATGTATGATCTGTGCGCTTCTCACCCTCAATCGTACCTCTATACAACTGAGCCATCAAGACTGCACACCCGAAGTATCCCGTATGCGATCATATATAATCCAGAAAGAAATGCATCAGCTGATTTGATTCATCTAGTAATCAGAGATCCAAAAACTCATAAAAGTCCGTTCTGGTGGTCAACCGACATCTACAGCTCAGCCAGCCCTGCAAATGATGCCGTTGTGGATGCAGCATGGGAAAAGATTCGACCTGCCCACGGGTTTGTCGCACTTGACCATAGATGGGCAGCTGAAAACAATCTCCCACCTAGTTTGGACTTGCCTGCCGATCATTCTAAAGGTGTATATATTATCGACGCGTAAGTCTTACAACTCCCATTTCCTTTCAAGTCCTACTACCATTGACTAAACGATGCAGCTACCACCAAATCCACTGCCTAACAGTAATACGTCGCACAATGATGGAGATAGCCGCAGGAAAGCCTCCTAGCATAGCAATCGAACACTCACGACACTGCTTTGACAGTTTACTGCAATATGTTGTGTGCGGGACGGACGGAGACACCTTATTGTATACATGGGGCAAAAACACGACTGGAAATGGACAGCCGCGGAACTGCATCGACTGGAGCAGTAGGAGGAACTGGGCGAAAGATAATACCGCCTGCTATGTAGATGGTGACCATCCAATGCGATTGATTGCGCATTTTAATCATTGCGAGAATGATGATGATGGGATAGAAGATTACTGGGGATGACGTGTCAAGTATGGTGTGTAGATAGCAGTATTGGAAAACATCAAATAATTATTGAGTCAAGAAAACTTTGAAACATTTAAGTAACAGATCGTGATTTGCTCAGTCCAGGCTTGCTGGATTATCTGACTTACTCTGGGCGTCTCATTACAGTCAAAAGCCTCTCTGTTGCCTTATTCTAGTTCTTTTTTCATTATTTTAGGCGCAGCCTCAAAAGATCCTCCAAGGTTGGTCATCTTGGAAGACCGTAGCATCCATAAACTGGATACTCCTTAGGGTGTGTTTTCGTTCAAGATACAGGTCCCAACTCGATTTCAATGATGTGAAGCCCATAGATACTACATAACTAAAAGTCCATCCAAATTCATATTCATGAATCGCATTTCAAAATACTAAGTACAGTTGTGGTAGGACTGAACAGCTCGTAACATATAACTGATCGTCTATTTCATTCCTAGCGTTACTGTTTCGCCACTAGCTCCTCACACTGATCAAGCATCAATCGTCCGTTGGGATCAGATCATCTACCATCCCTCTGCAATCTGTTCGTAATTGGAGTTTTCCGTGTTCTTCTCGCCCGGGTTGCCGTCGGTCAACTTTCGAGTGGTGAATTCCACAAATCTAGCGTCCCGCTGTGCGATCGTATTGTCTCGCTGGCCTAATTTGCCTATTTTTATTATTAGAAGTGCAAGTCTAGTATTACTTAGGTGGGCGTACTAGGTATGGCGAGGGTGCAGCTGAGGAAGCCCAGAACACATAAATTGATGAGGATGGATTTGAGCATGGTGAGTTGTTCGAGGTAGAGCGTTTCAATTTTTGGTTGTAGTGATGGCTTTGTGGCAAACCTTGGAAAATGTTTGAATGTTTTGGCATCGTAGTACGCTGTTCAAATCGCCGTTATTATATAAAATAATTTTCATGCAGCCTAAAGGGCCACAAGGTTCAGGGCAGTAATGTTCAGCATAACATCAAGGATTCCTGGGTGAGTGATCACCGACCAACACAATCGAGCCTAACGGAGAAATGCTATTGGGAGCCAATATCGTCAGAAATTTACATATGATTGGCCTCGAGAATCTCAGCCCCGATACCCCATTTTTGGCCCCTTGGTTCGTCGCGCCATGTATGTTCCCTCAGCCCGTATGCGTAGCCTGCAGGAATCTCAGCTGATAGTAAATGTGCAGGTTGCCTGACCCCACCTCCCTAAGTACTTCGCATTTTCCTTTACCCGCCCCCACAACGAAACAGCGCAGACCTGGAGGATGATCCCTTCCTAGGGATTGGGCGAGTATTTACTCTTCGTGTTACCCTTTTAGGAATAAGCGTGCCATGGACCAGTGTTTGTTGATCCTTTGACATATGTGAGTTGCTCACCCGTGCTGAATACATGCGGTATTTTCAACTGAGACAAATGGCGGCTTATTTTGATCACCTAGGCAGACTGATAACGCAGCATTGTCGGGCTCAGCTAAGAGTTCATCACACAAGGCCGACTTGTTGGGGCCTGCGAGGTATGTAATTTGTCAAGTATTTTGTGGCTGTCTCAGCTTGCTAAATCCAATTGCTTCTAGTCAACTTTGAGACTCCCTGCACACAGTAAGATGGAAAACGTCGCATACCAACCCGTCCGCGACAACGTCGACGTCGACAGCGAGAATCTGAACAGTGAGAAACACAACGAAAAGCTCAACACATCCGGTCATAAATCGTGGAAATGGTTTTCTATAGTCATTTGGATCGCCGTGGGCTATTCCCTCGCTTTCATAACAGTCGCCTTTCTGCACCCATATACAAAAGAATCATATGGGCGAGAATCCTCCGCTTGGTCGCCCGCACTTGAAATCTATGACGACGACAAATTTTCAACGCAAAGATTCAATGGTGCCCTGAGGGCACAAAACGAGTTTCGTGGCCAGCCGAGCCAGGAGATCGACGATGCTTGGGATGAAATCTTACATCCCGAAGGGGGCCTGGTACGCCTATCCAAAGAACAGATTGACAAAGTGAAGGCTTCCGAGTATGCGGCCGAGTATACAGAAGATATGGGAGGTGGGTATATCGGGAGTATTGAAGCACTGCACCAACTGCACTGCCTGAATATGTTGCGGCAAGTGACTTATTTGGACTACTATCTCCCGAAGAAGAAGGAGTGGAGGGATGATCCGCAAACATTGCGGTTTCATCTGGATCATTGTATTGATATGATAAGACAGAAGGTGATTGTTCTTTGTTGGCTCTTTATGGACTTGTAATGGCACACTGACTATTCTATTAGCTTATGTGTAGTCCTGACGTCGGGATAATTACTTACGTGTGGGCTAAGGGATACAAGCATCCATTCCCTGATTTCAACATGTGAGAGTTGGCGACTTGACCTTTCAATGCTTATTTACTAATTTTTGTAGTATTCACAAATGCAGGGACTACTCGAGGTTGCTCGAGTGGGTAAAAGAAAACGATGTCCATGGCAGAAATGTGTCGGACCTTCAACGAGTTCCGGGAGCAAAGGAACGGGAAACTCGGCCTTGATGGGCTACTGTGTTTAGGGATGGATGTTTGTAAAAAGCGTTTAAAATAACATATTTCACAAGCGAGCCGCTCACCCCATCTAAAACGCGTCCACGAATTAGATCTTAGTTAATTCAACCCCCACCATGCCGCCAATTCGCTCTTTGCAGTCCTCCCCCTAGCGGCCTTTAGTACTAGCATCGCACTACCTTATTTCTAGCCTCTATTCCTGGCCTATTTCGCCACTCTCCACATTCCCTAAGGGCCCTGATCAACTGCCTCCTCGATGAAACTCCTAAAGCCTCGTCGGAGAGCAGCCTTGATCACCCTTCCCTTCTGATTCCTCGCCAGTTTGTATACCTGCCAGTCCTCCTCACCATGTGTTGCAAGATACTGACGATACATACGGCGGGAGTGCTTGACTGCCTCGCCGCAGTCCTTTGTCCAGGAATGGTTCGCCTGCGGGCTGGGACGTGCCCACGGAGTTGATTCCTGTACGCCACGTTGTACGATCTCGACCAGGTGGTCTACTGCGGCGTCAATCTGCTGGGGGGATACTAATACTAGGGGGGATGACGGGAGCATAGACTGAAGAGTAGGGCGGCAAGAGTGGGTTTTCCTAACGGAAAGAAAAGGGTGAATACGGACATACATATAACATGTCTAAGGTGGTGGTCACCTAGCGCCCACAGTTTGGGTGTAGGCGTCTATTAGCCAAAAACAGGCACATACTACAACCTCTATATAGGGGTATTTACTACTTTTTTATTTTTTATACCTACCTATGTTATATATAAACTCGAATGTGAAGACCGTTTATTTTTACCTATTTTATTTAATTTGTGGTGGGGGTTGGAAGTTTTTCAACTAGATTGGTAGCTTTGGTTCAAAATTCCGAATTAGGTTAGTGTTTAGTCTAAAATTCCTAAAAGGGAATTATTAGTCGAAAATGCAGAAGAAGTTATCTGTATTTCGGACTATCCTATTCTCCTACATTTTCAACCACACTATTCTTCTACATTTCTAACTATTATATACCCCTAGAAATTCGACAATATTAAATTTCTATTTTAATATATTATAGATACTATCTAGTACTCCTAGTTAGTAAATACTACTATATAATTATAATTTCTACTTATTAAAGTAGAATATAGCCTAAAACGTAGTAGTTTACTATTATTTAAAATTGATTATTATCCGATAGTTAGAAATATAGTAGTTAATATTAGTCGAAAATATAGGAGAACCTGATAGTCGAAAATATAGAGGTTTAGTTTAGTCGAAAATATAGAAGAAGATATCTGTATTTTAGACTATCTCCTTATCCTATATTTTAGACTATCCTATTCTCCTATATTTCTGACTACTACCTACCCCCAGATTTATACCATATTAAATATCTATTTAAATATACTATAGATACTTATTAGTTCTATTAGTTATAAATTATTACTATATAAGTATAATTTCTAACTATAGTTAGAAAGTCTAGCTAGAAAGTCTAGTAGTACTTATAATAGTAGAATATAGCCCGAAATATAGTAATTAGTATTAGTTAAAAATATTAGAGAACCTAATAGTCGAAAATATAGAGGTTCGGCTTAATTAAAAATATAGAGGAAGATATCTATATTTTAGACTATCCCTTTATCTTATATTTTAGACTATCCTATTCCTCTATATTTCTAACTA